CCTTTGTGTCTGTGACGGCTGTTTTTCAAACGTTACTATATTTTCTTGGGGCCTTAGGGTACTGCTGTTCATTGTCAGTTACTTCATATGTATAGAGGACTCTTCAGCATGACACGAAAGACAGCAAACCTTTGGTTTCTCTTCTTAGCTGGCCGTCCGCGCCGCCGGCGTTCGCATTCCACACCGGCATCTGCGCAATTGGCACAGTGCGCTCGACGATCACACTTTATCTATTACATTCTATTGTTGTCAGATTCAATATGTGGTTTAAGCTTGGTATTCATGGTATTGCAACCTTCTTCGCATGACATAGGTCACACTGTTTGCTTTGATTAGCGTCTACAGCTTTCCCTGGGAATTCCGGCCTATGGGGATGAGCAGAACATACCGCGGGCAGAATATCCCCCGTGACTGTGAGATCTTCCGGCATTGGCAGCAAGCTTTACCGGAAGTTCTGATGTTTTCACGACCGACCGCAAATATTTCTGACAGGAAGCTATAGTTGCAAGGTATGCTGAGTGTCGAGCGTGCGGAGCGGGGAGGGAAGGGAAAATCAACCACCCGGCTGGCTTGCTGACTGAGCATTCCAGTCGCAATCACCAAAAAGGCAACTCCTGGCCACATACTCCGTGGTACTAGATCATGAGAGTTGCAGTTTTCAAGCCAACTACTAACATGCACATGATGTGCTTTGAGCTGTTACTTCTTCCAACATGGTTACAAGATATCTCAATGCCACGTTTGATTCCATACTGTCTAGTTTCGCAATAATCTTAGCTCTGGTCTATTCTATCTGGACATATAGTGTTGATAATACATAGGGGAAAATGATCTGCGCTCCCGAACTACCAGGGGACGTCCTGGCCTTTATAGGCCTCCCACCCTGGGACATGAATATTCTTGAACCGGCCATTGTCCATACGGTCTGCGGACATAGCGATGTTCAAGACCGCCTCTGCACCTTGAGGCACGGTCAGGTCGGCATGCTTCCCACCCATGTCACTTTGCAGCCACTGATAAGTGTCATTAGCTTCTCTGGTATTGATTTCCCAGTAGATCGGCAAGTGAGAACTTACTCCAGGGCTGACTGCGAGGAAAGTAAATCCTTCTTCTTGGTATGACAGCGCATACTGGACCGTTAAGGCGTTTAGTGCTGCTTTGCTGATCTTGTATGCCGGGCAAGGAGCGTACGATACTTCGCGCGCACTGGTAATCGAGCCATATGCACTCGAACTGTGGTTTAAAAGCTGTTAAGTACCTGGTCAAAAATATACCTATCTCATTGCATCTGATGCTTACATATTGATGATCTTCTTGACCTTGCTGTTCTGCATCAAGGGAAGATAGTGGCGAAGGACGTTATGTGTTCCAGTTACATTCACTGACAACTGGTAGTCAAGGTCGGACCTATTAGTTTGAGGTCAGTCTCGGTGATGCTCTCAAAGACATGGATCTGCTAGGCTACTTACATTGACGCTAGTTTTCCATGTGTCTCACTATGAACTCCAGCGCAATTGATCAACATGTCCAGACTTTGCTCGTTTAATGCTGATCTGACTTGCTCGGCTGAGTCAGCGATTCTTGACTCCTCGGAGATATCCAGAGCGACGAAGACAATGCATCCATTAGACTGAGCGATAAGTTCCGTAAGCTTCGGGCTGCATTTGCGCGCTGTTGCAATAACCAATCCTCCTTCGAGGCAGGCGCGGGCAGCTAGCTGCCTCACTAACTCTAAGCCTAAGCCGCGGGAACTGCCAGTAACGAGAAAGTTCGACATCTTGGGAGGTAGACTCTGTAAGACGTTTGATCGGTGAATCGTATTCTAAGAAGTGCAAGGCATCAAATTTTGTAGCAGATTTATGGAATTAAAAATGAGCGTACAGCGAAATGTTTTGCCCCCTCGCCTTTGGAGATCTTCTCCGTCGCCAACGGACCGGCCTTCCGAACTGGAAGGGTAACTGGTAACTGATCTGCGGGTCCACTTTCCCGATGGAGTCGGTCTTCCTCTCACAAATGTACCATATCCGACAACAACGTCAAACCACGGCGGTTTGGCCGAACAAGCCTGTTATTGCAAGACCTGAACTGTAGAATTAGACGAAAAGTACAGGCCGGTCCAGAAGGTGAATGCAGATCTTCAGCGCTCTAGTATGACGCAAATTCAGGAAACAATGTTCTTTCGGCCGCGGACCTTCCACAGATATATAACCGCCACAGCGGGGTAAATATTGCATACTGCAAAGATTCATTTCGCAGAAATTCAACGATTCACCAATTGATTGAAACCCAAAACACTCTCAATATGGCCGAACCATGCACCGTGGAGGATCATCTCAAGATGCTGGAATCATTCCTGAGTCCGGGTGGAAGAATTCGTCCTACTTCCCCAGATTACCAATCGAAAGTTGAGACCTGGGCTGCCCAAAAACAACTGAACCCTCACATTGTTTTTCGACCCACAACTGTTGACTCTTTGAGCAAGGCAATTGCCTACCTTTACTCCACAAATCTGGACTTTGCTATATACGGCCATGGGTTCATGTCCGCATCCGCAAGCGATGTGTTGGTGAATATGTCGGCGTTCAATGGCTTTCACCTTGATAGAAATTCGGAACTCGCTACGGTCGGAGCTGGACAGACATGGTCAGATGTCTATCGGAAGCTGAGTGAAGTCGCACCCGAATTTGGAAGTAAGGATGTTTCCTCCAATTTTCCAGATCACGTATTTTGTGGGCGGAGACTGACACAAGATTAATGCAGTCGTGGGAGCCCGCACCCCTTGTGTGGGCGTTGCAGGCACTATAATCAGCGGTGGCTTTTCATGGCTTTCTAGAGAGTACGGGTGTATCTCATACCCAGCGAATATGCTGGATGCAAAAGTCGTAAAGTATGATGGCTCGGTTGTTTGGGCATCCTCGGAGCCGGATCTTTTGTGGGCCTTACGTGGCGGCGGAGGTGGCTTTGGCGGTAGGAAAACGAAATGTTTTATATTTGGAATGAAAAATTACTAACGTGCAAACTGTAGTCGTTGTTGAGGTTGTGCTGCGAGTGTTCCCTTACCCGCAGAATATCTGGGCTGGCCCGATTCTGATACCGCGGGAGAAGCTCGAGGTGACAGCAGACGAAATTGCAAAATTTGTTTCTCGACCTCTTGATCCAAAGGTCTCCATGTTTCTATACGTCGTGAAGAAGCGACTGCTAAAGTCCATCGGTGCGGACTCAGATATGTTGGTGCTTCATGCTTTTGATGCCTGCGGAGAAGCGCACGGTCGGGTCAACTTCCAGTGGGCCCTAAACATCCCCGGAGCTATTGACCAAACTAAGGTCACTACCTTTGCTGGTGTTGCAGATTTACAGGGTAAGGCCACATCCTCGCAAGTGCTGGTAAATATATGCTCATCATTACACAAGACAAGGTGCATATTGCCAAAGGCACCATGAAGCAGTTCTGGTCGCCGTTGCTTCTACGAGAACTTTCCGAGGATACCATCATCAACGCTGTTCAGTGGTCTGAAGATATCGGAAAACTGGACGAATCGCTCAGTGACTGCACCTATTTGATCTTTGAGTTGCTATGTTCGGTAAGTCGCAGGAAGATACTTCATTCTTACATTTTTGAATGCTCCAGCGCGACCCTTCGGGAGGAGTAGCCAGCTGCGCCTGGCCACGACCTCAAGGGGTCAAGCATATCTTGCTTATGGGTCCCGGATGTCCAGCTGACGCCGGACGTGACCACGAAGATCTGGTACGAGATCTTGCTATCAAGGCAGGCTCCAAAGTCTTGGGAGAAAACGCAGATCTAAATTACCTTCCTAATGGGTATGAAAAGTTCTATGACGCGAACAAGGTAAGTCTGAAGACTCAATCATCATCTGACCTGCTGCTCATTCGGGAACTAGATTTGGGGTCCTCATTTCGCTCGATTGCAAGATTTACGAAGAAGATATGACCCGCTGGCCAGGTATAACGGGGCAGTTGCTCCCTCTCATACATGAATTATTGACAAGTATGTTATTGGACGTATATGGCGACAAAAGGCAAAAGGAAAGGAAGAAAACAAGAAAAGAAAAACAAAATCAAGACCTCACGATTTGCTTGGGCAATAAAAGCTGATGGGATGAAGTGATTTTCTTCGTGTGCAGTAAGTCGTTACTCAGAAAGCGTCAGATTCAGTAGTAATATAGTTAGCCACTCGCCTGGGCCTCCAGTATGAATATACCTTTCATTGCGATATCGGGACCCCGAGAGTTTAGCACAAACATTAGCCAGCATAACCCAGTGCTTAGTCATGCGCATAAAATTTCCGGCGCTAATCTGCACAGCGGACCCTGCAGATCAGTGGGTTTCAGACAGCCCCCATCTTATCTTAGCCGGTCACGCATACCAACGGGATTGACTTCTGGGCCGGCCCCACCCTGAAAGTCGAACGCCCGTGGCGCGTAATGTAACACTAGCGTATACAAATGCGCCCGCACGCAACCTCTAGCTTAAATTAACAACATTTTATTAATCAAGACACTGCATAGCAGAAGTAAATGTATCTGATATATGCGACGGATGACCAACCTACATCTGTTCTCTAAAAACACTACAATCGCGCACAACCCCAACAGCTTGGATTCGTGCTGCTACAAAGGAGAAAAGTGTCTACTCCCTAGTGTTTCCGGCAAAGACGCAGTGAAGATTTGGGTGAAATCGTTGTTCCATGGGAGTGCGAGAGGTACGAGAGAGCTGCTAGTGCCAGTGTGTCTGAAGTATGTAAAGTTCCCTTCTGGGCTCAGGGGCTTGGCAGTACTTGAAGCGTGATTGCGTTACTGAATTAAACTCCGTGTGTATTACCATCTACTATAGATAGTGTTGAGGCGCGATTTTACGTGTGAAGCAACGAAACAGCAAAAATGCAGACACAACGAACGCAAATATGCAGCAAAAGAGTGGTTGTATTAGCTATCTAGGTGCGCGCAGCGAAACAACGCGAGATGGTGCTTTGCGTCGGCGGCCTGCGTGCCACGCACGTGACTAAGCCTACATGACTGCCTCAACACATAGTATATAACATCACATTCTAGTCAAACAAACATCTCCATCCCCTTCGCAAGATAAGCCGACATGTCATTTTCGGCCAGCAGTATAGCGCTTACACATTCCTAGTATATCCCCCACAGCACCGGCTCACTCTTTACATTACCATTGCAATCCATGTTTCCCTTTGCGCCGACCAGCCCATCCCTAGCAAATTTGTCGATAGCATCATTGATAATATCAATGACATCCTGCCCGCCGACCTTGAAATTGACATTTCCGTTGGTCTTAGTAGCCTCAACGCCAAAGTGACAGGATGCGTGACTGGCAATCTCGCGCTGGTTATGGCCGACAACCTGGGTCGTCCAGCTAGTGGATGCATCGCCCTCGATGTTCTTGATGATCTGCCGGCAGTCTTCTACCTTTGGTGATGCATCGCTAGTTTGGTCCACAAAGGTTGACTCACCGCACTCATCTTTACCAGGCGGGATATCGCAGGGCCAGTTCGGGCTTGAGTCTTTGTCGACCGTATCCCAGGATTGGAAGGCGCGGGCGGGGCTACAAACAGGAATCCGCATGAAGCCGGGCGTTGTAACATCCACGTCTATCAGATCAGACATGGTGCCGTGATTCGTGGGATCTGCTATGCTAGCGCCGTTCTCCCTCCCGTTAGCTATCCAGGTCCGGACAGAGCCCTTGACCAGCTCGTTGGTCGTGATGCCGTAGTAGCTGTTGTCGCCAGAGATGTATTGGATTCCTTCGGGAGCAGAGAATTTGCTGTCTTTGCAGACCGTTTGACAGGGGCCGGAATCGTTGATGATCTTGCAAGTACAGTCAGTCGCAGGGCCATCCGGATATGCGAGGTAGTATTGTCGATTGTCAACGCAGACACCCGTGGCATCAATAGTATCGTCGTCCAAGTACTCGCTGATGTCCGGGTCATCGTCGCAAGACTGACCTGAATCAATGATAAACGTATAAGATCCAGCTTGGCGCCACAATGCGGGCAATGCAAAGCCGACGACGCATTTATTAATATTGGCAAGCAGCTCATTCTGGGTATTTCCAGATTCAGGGGGGTCAGTATCCATCTTACCCTCGATGAGCTTGCCATCTGATATGACTTCCCAGAGGGTATCAATGCTCGTGTCCTTTCCACCGAAGAGGTCATCCAACGCTAGCGATGTGACATTAGACCAGCCCCACACCACTTGCCCTAGATAGGCAGAAAATTCATCTTGTCCCTCCGGCGACCATTTGGGCTTACTAGCCGGAGGTAGTACTTCCTTGGCGGTAGTCGTACCTTGTCCAAGGAGGGTCATGGTTGTGTCCTTTGTATTGTCCAGGGCGCTGCCAGAGAACCAAGCGTAGTCCTTCAGCATTGTGTTGAACAGCGGCCCTGCAGTGCCTAGGGCGCCGAGAGTGATCATGTCAATAAGGATGTTGAGCCAGGTGTTATCTTCTTCTGGTGGGATAGGCGCAAATTTGTTTTCCATATCGTCCAGTGCTGTACCGACAAGACCAAGAGAGTCGAATAAGGCAGTGTAGTATTGCTTGTACATCTCGTGAATTTGGGCCATTGAGTCCAGGATGAGAAAGGCTGCGGGGCCAGAGTGGTCTCCATTTGCAGCGTCTTCGCAACCAACGGAATTGCAGCTCGAGGACTTTATATTATTGCAGGCCTGACGCTTGAAATGGGTGGTACTCTCAACAGATTCCATGAAAGTCATATGGCGCGGTTGATCGGTGTCTTTCCAGATTCGGATTATGTCACGCCACGCCGTATCTGTGTCCATGTTCTTCCACCGCTCTGAGGGTGTGAAGTCGAATAGATTTGCAACATTATCGTTACTGCAGTTATACGAGGTCCAGTTTCCGGTACGTGTTTGGTCAGTCTTAGGGTCCTCCCCTGCTTTGGCGAGCTGGATAAAGTTGGCCCAGCTTGTCGCCGGCTTGGGAACATCATGATAGGTTTGCAGGTCGCTGGCCCAGTCAGAGGTTCCACCCAAACCCCAAGCGCTATACAGGGTGGTGCGGGCCCTTTTTGTGGCGGTGCTCATGTAACCGACCCATTCATCCTTATCGTAAATGAGAATGTCGCTATTGCTGGTCGTATCGACATAGCTTTTGACGACCCGAGAGGAATCTTTTATGATATCGTCAATTTCCGCGCCAGCAAGGTAACCAGCTGTATTAGTACATTCGCCCTTCTTCGCGTCAGAGTTCAAGCGGTCGCCAGTGTAAGGACAATCGGGCCCCCAGCAATTTGGGTCTGCCATCTTGAAGGATCGGCCATAGCTCGTAATACCGACAATGACCTTTGCGCCAGGGACACCTGCCTTAGTAATCATTGCCAAAGACTGTTTAGTTTCCGTCAAATTCACCTGGCTGCGCAGACAATTACCCGTATCACAGCCTTCCTGTGAGTTGCTGTTATGCGCATCCCACTGGCCGTGAAGGTCATAAGTCATATAGACAATGTAGTCGACGATCCTAGCCATGTCCTTTATGGGGAACTGCTTCAGGTACCAGTAGGATGCCGGTGCGGCAATGGAGACGGACTTTCCCGGCAAGAGATTTTTGAGAACGACAAGGAATGCCAGGTAGTTTGGACCGTCTTCCTCCGTCCCAGGGTCATTTTCAGGGAGGTCGGGCGCCCCTGGATATTCCCAGTCGATATCGACACCATCAAGGTCATTGTCCTTGATGAAGTTGGCAATATTTGTCGCCATCGTTAGCCTGTTCGCTGGTTTAACACCATTACGGAAAATTTTGTATGTTTCAGGCATGGTTGAGAAGTCCCACCCACCAATGGAAAGGATTCTCTTGGCTCCTGTGATTCTCTTGAACTCGCCAAAATTGTAGGTGGACAGTGTATCCCCTGTCTCAACCTCCCAAGAGTCGGTCGGTGTTCCGAAGCCGAAATGAAAGTGCGTGTATTGCGAGGTATCAATCTGCGAAGCATCCTGAAAGAGGCACTTCCTACTAAGGCAGTAGCCTTCATAGTAGGCGATTTTGACATCCCCAGACCCAGATCCTTTCACAACGTCCATCCCACAATTCGATATACAGCCGTAGGTTCCTGGCTCAGCCGTTCCCGGGGCCCCAGTGTTTGTATCAACACAGAAGTCCGCAGTTATGCCACATTGGCCCCATATATTACAGCATGCGTTGAGCGGACAAGGGTTGAGATCGGCAATATTCGAGCCATTAGTTGGCGGGATTGTGCCTGGCTTTTGGGGACCACACTGAGCATTGGAGATCTCTGCGGGGAAGGGCGGAGTTCCTTCACTCAAACACATAACCGTATCTTTGAACAGAAGCTCGCAGCCATTCCAACCCCAGGTATCCTTGTTAAAGTTCTCAAGATCATCGCTGCTCAAACTGTATTCCGCAGCGAGGCTGTCGCAATTGTCATCGGCCTGGACCTGGTATGCCTTACATGAGCCGTCTTCATTGGGCTGGGGACGAAGATCAGGAAGATTTCCATCAGAGCAGCAAACATGCTGCTTAGGCTTCAATGTGGAGCAGAAATCACTGCCGGGGTTGTACTTCGTGAAGTCCGCGCCTGAAATGCCGCATTTCACTGCCAGGTCTGCACAGCTGTTCCCAGCGTCAACCTGTACAGTTGTACACTCGCCACCCCCCCCCCCCCCCCCTGTGATAATCTTCCGAACAATATTGCGCTCCAAGTAAGTGGAATTGGCCGCGGTAGTGTGGTTGCCATTCAGGAGGGGCGTAGTGAATTTTACTGAGCCCGCAAGCTTGAAAGATCCGGGGAACGATAAGCACGTCGCATGAGCCCAAGACTTGATTGCATTTTGTATGGGAGCAAAGGTTCCATTGCTAGTCGCCATAACACCGAATACATGTGTACTATCGTAGCCTTCCTCACAGAGCTGCATAGCTAAGCTAGGGGTGGAGATAGCAAGATTGCCAAGATTATCCTGGAAGAGCTTGAGCGCAGACTCGCCAAGCCCTTGTTTCAGCAGACCCTGGCCAACATACAACCCGATTGTAGCTTGACCAGACTGGCCGTATATGATAAATGGCCTATCGGACTTGCCATGCTCTTTATCGGCATAGTGGCGCATCTGCCTAACAATTGACCGCAGCCCAGCACCCGCCAGACCGAACCCCTCCTGCCACCACCCAAGTTCAAACTGAACATCAACGGGACCGCTAGAAGTGACATGAGCGGTAGTCGCAGGGAAAGTGGCGAAGTCCGGTCCGTATGAAGAGCAGGCCTGAATGCGGTGGGTTCTCTCCCAATCATCAACATCGTCAAACAAGGAGAAGTCATAGAACATCGTTTCCTTGCACGTGCGGATCTGCCTGAAGCCCGAGTACACCGACCAGTTCCCCGTATTGGGCCCAGCATCACGGCAGCGCTCAGGACAGGCGGAAGCACCGCTATTGTAGCTCTGACTGGCAAAGCTACGGAAGCCAGGGCTTGCGATAGCTGAAGGTGGCCATGCGGTCAGCACGAAGACTGCTGCCGCACCGAGCCAAGTGAGGGTCACCATGGAAAAGGAATAAAGACCGAGAGGACCTTGACAAAAGAAAGAGAAAAAAAAATGAATAGTAACGGAAATGAGTAATAAATAAGAAAGAACAAGTGATGTCTTAAGGCAAAGACCGTGTGCGAATGAAAAGACAATTAAAGGAAAGACTGTGTGGGCTGTGCCGGAAGGAAAGAACGTGGTTGAGGTAGGAGTCAAATCATGGGAAGGAGAAAGGACACTGACAATGGGGGAAAATATATACCTTTTATATAAGAAACAAGAACCAGGAGCCCAACATCGAGCACATGCAAGTCTCTTGATTGCAAAGCTCCGAAAGCGGATTTCACCATCAATCTCGACTGAGTGTTGCACGCGACCCCCCACGGGCCTGTTCATCTTGCGGCAGGGACACATAGCAATCTAAGACATACCATGGTTGCTGATTGGTTTAGCTTCTATCTTGGAACTGTGTATGAGTGGTGGCTTCTCGCGAACCCATACCGTAGTTATCCTTGGCGCAATTTCTCTGTCAGCTTGTGAGTCGTAATTGTTGGGAGTAGAGCGGCGGTATGACGGGTGGCAGTAGCGCGGGAAATTCCCCACAACAGCGGAGGGTAGGGCGATCCCTAGATAGACCGGAGAGAGGGAAAAGGGCGGGTAGAATATATCCAGCTGGAAAGCAGTCAGGATCGCGAAGAAGACTACTCTTGAGAGAGAGAGGAGAATAGATGTGTATGGATCAAAGTTGATGAAGGATCTGTTCCGTGGCTCGCTATAGTAAAACCCCCAAAATTGGGATTTATCAATGAAAGCCCAGTAGTGTTCCAACCCACTTGAGAGGACTTGGCAGGCATGAAAGGGTCTGATATTTCTCCCTCTACCGTCAAACCTACCATGTTCTGTAAGCTGTGGGTACTTACCTTGACCGTAAACTCTAAAGGTTGCATCAAATTTGTAGGCATGGTCCGGCGTGGGAAAGTTGGAAATGATCGATGCGCACTGGCCTCTGTGATATCAGCCCATACTAAGGCGAGGTAGCAGAGGCAGAACCCAAAGTGAATTTAATTTGCAGGTAGTGGGTGTGTGGCGGCGGCCAAGGCAGTAGTATGAGCTAGCTATTCAATTGTTCTGGTTCAGCTTACAACTGGTTTCATTGCTAGTAATTAATACCTTGAAAGTGGACTTGGAGAGATCACAAATGATCTATGCAGGTTGGCTATCGCACATTGTGTTAAGTTGATACGCTTAATATTCAGTCATTGTTGAATAGGGACGGCATGGTTCGACAGAATTCTGTAAGTGTTACTTAAGACATGCTGCTGACTACTGATTCTGTGATGCCTTCGAGGTACGATAGGTGTAAGCACGAAGAAAGGTAAACCATGTCGGCCCGAGCTATACATCAAAAAATGTCTATTAACAATCCGGCCAGGCCCAAAGCTCCAATTGCCGTTAAAATCCCAGATACCCCAAGTACAGCCAATTGCGTAGCCCTATTCTCCTCTTTGGGACAGTTATCGGGGGGAACCGGAAGGTAGCAGAAGCGCTGTTGCTGAGCGGCCGCCATGCTCTCGGCCGTATCCTCGTCTATCGCAATGCGGCATGGGTCCGGCGTAGAGGTTGTAGGACTGGCAGTTGTGTTTTCAGTAACGACACATGTGTCCCGGTGTGCCCAGTTGAGCCACGAAGGAGAACTCATGACAGTATCGGTCACATTGATGACGATTCCGTTGGGGCTTCCGGGGCAGCTTTCATTTGCGGTAGCTGCGACAAGGTCCACCTCCTTGAGACTGGAATTGTTGATATAAAAGCCCTCCGTAGAATGGTAGTAGTGTTCAGAGACTCCACCACTATGATGGCTGTGGGTCAGCGCTTCCACATTGCAGCTTTCCCAGCTCAGCTTCCATTCAACCAACCAACGACCGGATGTGTTAAAGCTGTCGTCGAAGTAGTCGTAGACGAAGTAAGGGTCTGCGCTGCCCGACCAATTTGTCCACGAGAAATCATGGACCATCCATAATCGGTTATCAAAATTCAGCCCGTCATTGCTTTTGTAAATGTAGTAGGATAAACGGAGGTTGAGAAGCTCTGCCCTTTCCGTGTTCTGCACAGCAAAGACGAAGGGGAACGACTCGGCTGGTGAGTATGAGGCATTGCTTCGAGGAAACACCAAGTCAAACTCGACCGCAGGCGAGGAAGTGATCAAGGCTCCGAGTACTATGAGCCATTTTGATTGGAGAAAAGGCATGGCTGAGGGATTTGAGGGGTCGAGCCAAAAGCGGACGTTGAGAGACTGGAATAGCGAAGCTAGAACTGAGATAAACACGTTGACCTTGCTCAGTAGTACCGTCCAGCTCTTAGGGACTTCCGGTGACTAGTATCAATAAGGTAGGGAAAATTGAGAATATTTGTAAAATATGTGTGTCGGGAGAGGGAGTGGAATAGGGGTCCTTGGCAGGTAGTCTCCCGACCCCTGTCGCCCGAGACTAACTGATAGGTCTTGAAAGCGCACGAGCGATTCCTCCGCCCGAACTAACAGGAGATAGCGCAGGTCCGTTCTTGGACTTGGGGTCAGGTCATCGCCTCCGTCAAGGTGACATGGCGCGCCAAGGCGATCTAAAGAAATATCGGAGCGGAGCGAGGAACCATTCAAGCCTCTGTTTTCTGTGCCAAGCCTTGGCGCTGCGGGCAACGTTACATTCGTATCCCAAAAAATGCGCCAAATGGTCCCTGGCTACTCTTTTGCACGGGTCTAGCCTTATAAGGTAGTCGTAGCCAATGTGGACAAGGCGCTGAAGGGAAGCCATGATCCCAGCCTTGCCGGCTGCTTCCGCTCCTTCCTTACCATATTGGGAAGGTCGCTATTGCTAATCTCGCTTACATTGGTGCTTCATTAGTTCATTATGAATTTTCGCCTCCTGCCTCACGATTATATCCATTGGACAACTGGTCCCTCGCCAAGGAGCCGTTACTGCGCTAACACAGCATACACACCACATGTACCCTACATGCTCTTGATCGAGGTCATCCCCGTATCAAATTCTGATCATGTGCACTATGGTCTCAACCATTGACTGAGTCGTTATCAACCGGTTGTCTTGGTTTGTTGGCTAGTGTCGTAGACGTCGTCCCCTCCAGTCCATTCAACGCAGGAACTATCATTTGACGCCCCACCATCATAGATACTTGTCCATTTAGTCATGTAGACTGCGCGAATACAGGGATAAAGATGATAGGACCCAGTCTAACAATCCCAGTCTTCGGCTCGCTGATTGACAATGGGGAATGACACATTTGACGTGGGGGAACAGGCCCACTGGAGTCAAGCCAATACCAGTGGAATGGTTAGTTGTGTCCAGATGAGTATATAAGCCAGTGTATACCCTTCAAATGTTGCTGATCATTACCTCATTCTCTTCGGCTATCCTCTATAGGAGGCTCGTATCGCCCTGAAACTAGCATAGACGCCGTTTCCATACCAAGAGAAATGCAACTCAAGTACCTCACTGTCGCTGGACTTGCTCCAGGCCTAGTCTGTGCGCTGTCCAAACGTACAATTGAGTGCTCCTTTACCACGGCTGCTAGCAAAGGTGATACCTGCGATAGCTTTGCTGATGTTTGGGGGCTATCTATTGAGGGCCTTCAGCAGCTAAACCCTAGTATTACCTGCCCAGATCTTGATACGACCAAGTTGTACTGTGTCATCGGAACCGTCAGTGACGATACATCAAGCACCATGTCTACGACAACGATGTCTTCGTCTACGACGTCTAAATCTTTAGTCACAACTCCCAGCACCATCACAACCACCACCGCAGCTGTGCCTACCAATTCGCCTGCTATGCCAGGCATTGTCGATAACTGCGATGGGTTCTATAAGGTCTCTTCTGGCGATCATTGTGACACTATCGCCGAGACATATGGTATTACCACGGCTCAGCTGTTGAGTTGGAACAGTGAGATTAATGATAGTGAGAAAGCCCTACTGGCCCATTTTTTTTCATTGAAGACGGGAGGGACTGTGATATTTTGTTACTGACATGCAACTCATTCAATTAGGCTGTTCAAACCTGTGGTTAGACTACTATATCTGTATACACGTCCCGGGATCTACCACAACCACTCCTGAAACGCCCGAGCCGACCGAAGACCCGGGTTCCAGTCCGACTCCCCAAATGCCCGGCATTGTCGACAACTGCGACGAGTACTATAAGGTCGCATCTGGCGACAATTGTGAAACTATCTCTAAATCCTATGGCATTTCCACGGCCCAGTTCAAGAGCTGGAATATCAAGGTCAACGATGGTACTCATGCCTCCCTATTCTCCCTCTACGCTCACATAGCAGTAATCTAACATATTCTGTCCTAAACTCCAGACTGTTCGAATCTTTGGCTTGACTACTATGTCTGCGTACACACCCCCGGCACAACCACCACAACGACAGCAGCCCCAGACCCCACGAACGACCCCTCAAGCCCGACGCCTCAGCTGCCGGGCATAGTCGAGAACTGCAAATCCTTTCATCTGATCAAGGATGGAGAGAACTGTTGGTCCATCTCTAATGAAGCGGGAATCTCACTTGCGCAACTGCGCGAGTGGAACACGGAGCTTAATGCAGCATGCGATAATTTGTGGTTGGGATACTATGTCTGCATCGGTGTTTGAGTACGCCCTGGCGTCCACATTTGAAGAAGGTTTTGTGTACCCATACATTTGACCGGTCTTAGTATAGTGTAAGATTTGAATGAGTTAACCAAATAACTGATTGCTTCTTCTGCACAATGAAAACAAAACCGGAAAGACGTTCGCAGATCCCAGGGCCGCCCCATCTGTAGACCCGCCACGGGCCGAGCCGCATCCTTGAATCCAAGCCGTGGCTGAACGTGGAAAATCAGGGTCCTTCCAGATTTGGCTTAATACTATTTCACGTCGTGTATATTTCCATATTCCTCCACGCTTTGAGAGGCTTTAAGCCAACAAATTTTTGAACAGTTCGGAATAGAGAACCGGGTAGCGCATTTTCTGGATAGATAACGAGTGGCCTATGACAATTTAGTCGGTGTTCACTCGTTCCCGACGCTGGAACTGTGATTATTCCAGTTGTGTAATAGGAGTTCCAGTAAGCTGGATATTTCAGGTCGCTCTTCTAGATTAAGAAGATTGACTGAGGCGTCATCTATGATCTGGTATTGTAGTGTCCACTTTTCGAACATCGATATTTAAGGGGAGCATGAACAGATTGGTAGTTTATTGGGCCGATACAAGGTCTCATATTTTCTCGCGGTTGCCATGAGGCTTCAATTCTCTGGAATTTTGCGAGCTAACATCAAATAAAGTGCTAGCTTCACAGGATGACTGAGGAAGCCAACACCAAACGCTTTCTCCATTTCGACGTGGGACCAATGTCCAGTGAGGCTTCTGAAATCTGCTGGTAATAAAAGGGGCATGTGTACGAATGAAAATGTATCCTGTCTTGAGCACAACGACAATATCTGTCTGGCTAAATGCATAAATTCTATGTGGCAGATGAGACCCAGTATTGAGGTATCTAATGGCAATCTATTTCTGGATAACAGTAATTGATCTTAGTAATACCAGTATAAAATGCCATCCAAACTTGAGATTTAGATACGAATAACTTGTACATAGAGCCATTGCATCCTGCGTAAACTTGAAGAATCTGGCTAGTATCACCTGCTAATATAGCGACGCTGAGGGAGCCCTTCGCCTAAGATTTACGGCAGGCATCCCGTGCAAAAAGAACGCAATGTTCAAACTAGTCAGACTGAGGTCCGTAGACTCCAGTTGTTCTCAATGCAGCAATGCTGAATCAAGTCTTCCTTGGGGGCTGGTTCTCCTTCTTAATAGGCTGATGGGACAATGGAATGTCGCCGGACTTCAGGGTTCCCTTAGGCTTCGAGTACTCCTTCCGCCAGATGTTGAATGCTGTCACGTACGGACTCTCCTCGTCGATCGGATAGGATGTGGCTGAGTTGGTATATCCAAGGCCCGCAAGATCTACTAAATAGAGCCTGTCTGCCCGAGCATCGTAATGAAGGTAGCTTGGGTGTTGCTCAGTCAGTTTGTAGTCATTCTGGCGCATGAGCCTGCCAGATAGTCAGTATGTGTTAGTGCAGAATGGAGAAAGCCCTTTATTTTCTGTAGCAGGATGCGAATTCAACTTACTCCAATAAATGCGCTAGTTGCTTTCTGATACTCCTGCGCTGGGTGTCCGTAAGCTCCTCTAGGATATCATCAACGTTCTTCCCAGGAGGAAACTCCATAACGATGAACTCAAGGTACCCTCCAGGAAAAGGCATCCAATCAGGCTGTTCGTGGGTCTCGTGATTATGATACTTCGGCCCATATCCGTGTGAAGACAGAAGGTCTATAGCCTCCACTTCATGGCAGTAGTGCTGTTCAGCAACCTTCAAGGTCTTTTCCAGATCTTCTATGTCACAGTCTTCCGGGTCAAGTTGATAGCGTATTTTGAGCAGGTACTTTTTGTCCTGTCGCTTGGCTATTGCTAGAACCTTGCGCTCACCAACTTCCGCATCGTCATCCTCGGTCAGCTGCCTCACCACTTTAAAATCTTCCCCCTCGATATCGAAAATTCGGTCTCTGAGACTGAAGCTCCACATGGTTGAGCCACTGTATGATATGGTACTTGTTACAAGAGAAAGGTAGAAATTTATGCCCTAGGAACATGGAGGTGTGGGACGGGGGTGTGGGATTGAAGGGTGGAAGTTGGAGACGGGGGAGCGACGGGGTGGAAAGTCTTCGGTGTTCCTAAGTGAGTCACCACCCGCCTTCATTCACTATGACACTCTACCAAGGTCATTATAGGTACGTCACTATCCATAGGTTGCTTCATATTTACCATTACTTATTTCGAGTCTCATAATGTCAGCTGATATTTTGAGAATTCTTTCATTACGTGACTGTAACCTATACGCCCAATCAAGCTGGCCATTGTTGTCCAACTTGACTCATTTCGCACTCTGCCGGCCTTCATACAACGCATATATACTTCCCGACAAGCCATGATACTAACCATGTTGATGGCCTCCATCTGCTGCGCGAATCTGTAATCGTCGGGGCTGCTCTCTGCCCTGGCCAATCCAATGATAGCAATTCCGCGATCAGAATCGTACAAAAGACAATGGCAACCTCGAGTTACTCAATGCAGTTCTAACACCCTTCAGACTACGAGGAATGACCTCATGGGATTGGGTCTGAGCCAACCCTGACTGTTTGACCTGCTCCTCATCTGCAATCAAACATGAACGATATCCATGTTACCCCATGGCCAGTTCAAACGTTGCTGTACACCACCCATGTTTTGTGTCAGGTAGTTGTTTAAGTGTAGCGGCACATTACACAAAGGCCCATGCCTTGTGATGTAGATATTGGGAGACTGTAGAAACAGAAAGATCACTCCGCCGCGGTATCAGCCCTTGGCAGGTGTGGACAAGTTTTCCAATGGCCAAGATAACGGATCCAGCTTGCAAGGACCCTTCTCACCCATTAAGCACCCGCGGGGTATTGGTGATTAGGAAACAACTATTGGACCACGAAGCCCTCAGAAAGATTTCTTGTCTACGGTGCTGCGACATACACTGCCGTCGGACTGTTGCCATCAAGTTGCTAGGAAAGAAAAAAAGGAAGAAGAAAAAGATAAATCATATATTCATCCACTTATTGCAATCGCTAGAAGAGGCATGGAGTATGCTATGAATTTAGTGAACAGTGAAAAGGCCGATTTTTGTCATTGACTACCGACGCGGCAAAAGTGTGGTTCTGCAAGGCATCCTGAATGCCATTCCTCCCGACAGAAGCCCTTTCTCCACACTAGACACATTCAATGAGATATCCAGTGCCCAGGAGATTGAGGTCTTCAATTAGATATGGGGAGCACTGTCGGTCGTTACGCACGAGTCAGTCGCCTCAGTTATATTCAGGTATGGCTCTTGGCATGGAGAACCACCAAATTTGCCTGAACATATCTATAATCGAGAGTTACCACTACCAAGGCCTTGCCACAAGATCGTTTCTCGGAGCATGCTCTCCCTCAAACAGGCCTCGTTGACATTACATGGTGCATCTTCGGTCATTACTCCATAAGGGGACGCAAAACGACCTGTTACTGCTACCTCCGAAAACGTGATATATGACCTTTGCTTCTGACGAGCATGGTATTGTCTCAATCAGTTAATCAGACTGTAATCCGGCTAAGAGTGTATCGTTTTTCACCCTCAGTCTGCCTAGGGTCAAACAATACATTCGGAGGCTGGATGAAGGTCGTCCTCTTAGTGATTTTGTCGTTGCTATGCAACTGCTTGGTTAATGTGATGGGTACTATGAGAAGATGGAGTACATAATCTCTGATAAATCCGAAAATCGTTTCTGTGTAAGGGTGCATGCCTATCTAACTCCAAGTACTCCCCCTTCCCTCTACCAGATTACGAAAGCAGACATGATCAACTAAATCAATGAACTTCTGATTTCAACGCAAACAACCCAAAGATTAGCCCACAATGCAAAACCTCAAATTCAGGAAAGGTATTTCGAGGGATGAGCTCTTGCTGATTTCTATCATTCCGAGGTCTATGACATTGAAGGTAGGAGGACCTCCCTCTCAGATTAGGTGGGCATCTCGATCGTCGGATCATGGTCTGCCTTCGAGTAGTCTGGTTATACCGTTAGAACAAATTCGAAGCACAAACAGACTACTACTTACTAAACGTTTGCTATATCTGGCAGGGTAGTAGCTCCTTTCTTCATCAGCGCCCGCGATGACAAGAGCCAGTAGGCATTTCCGGAGCGATAGGGCACTAGACGTTGAGACAGAACTGGCACTTATTGGCTGAGACAGGGTAAATTGGGTGTCATCGACCCTTTTTAAGAACCAAGTATACTCATAGACCGTATAGATGCCATACCTGCAGTGATGGTCGTCCATGTATCAAGCGAGCTGGCCTATTCATTCAAGAACCTGGGTTAGAATACTGACTTGGACAACCCGGTTAAAAGTAATGGAGACTCACCAAACTTCCAAGCTATGAAACTCTTCCAAGTTTCCTCAATTTTCTGGCTCGAACGCCCAGTGCGTCTTCACCTCGCACAAGACTCGGATCGTGTGGCGCTCGTCTTCGACGAGGACGATGTCTGGAACCAGAGTTCCCTTCTTCCCCTCTTTCTTGACCACCTCATATTCGCTCTCGTCACGACCGTGCTTCTTTTTCTTATCACCCTTCCGGCGGTTAACCCCCCGCTGTGAGTCACCAAAGGACATATCCAAGTTCAGGTGATTCAAGGCTTCACCCACGGGGTACAGGGCGCTTTGGGCGAAACGACCCTGCACCCCTAGCTCATTTGCTACACCAAAGGTCTCGTTTGGTACAGCGGGCATAAAGGGATAATGGTTCCCACAGTAGGGATTAGACAGAACCTTTATCTCTTGGGTGAAGTCTCCCAATCCAGGAGTTGATCTCTGTGGAGTCTGAATTGTGAACCGTCGGGTTTCAACATGCGGTACTTCTCTTTGTTGCGTAGGTGAGGTACGTGCGCCCAAATTCGCTCAAGATGGCCGCGTGGCAGCATGTTATTGGTCATCGTCTCGTTGTTCCTCGACTGAGGAAATCTACGTTTCAGTTCTGAGTTCGAGAGACTTAGCTGACGGAAGCACGAGGCGCAGTAGCTATAGGAACAAAAGAAATGATCAAAGGTCTGCAAGAAGAAGAATCATTTGCCCGGGATTTTATAAAGACAGTGCTATTCATATGTAACTATTCATTCCAATTGATAGCTTCATTGAAAATATTCACTACATCTCCATGTACTTTCATTGAATATATCACTTTCCATCATCTTCATTAGAGCACGGCTATCTTCTCAATTCAATATCGAAGGCCTGGTTAATACATGATGACAGCCAAATTCGACCTATTCTACGCCGATGCCTTCGTAGAGTAAAGCTCAAGGTGCTTTGCGATACACGTGTGGATAGCTGTTCCGAATGGCGTTTCCGATGAGAAAGATGATAGGATAAGTAGTAGTAGCATAACGGGGCTTGGCGAGTGGCCTCGATCTGCAGGTTATTCTCTAGCCCACTCGAAATCAGTCTATGTACAAGACGTTCATTTATGACAAACCATGGTGTTGACCATGGTCCGTAACTCGCCATGCCATGTCCCTGACAAAACCTGCAGGTAGTTCTGTGGTAGAAAGTCATCCGCTGTACAGAATTAGAATATTGGGGACTAGCTTTGCAGTATGAATGTTACGAATGCAACTCTTTTTATGGGCGCATAATCTACTCCAGGGCATCCGTTTTTAGGCAGGCCTGATAATAAGGGAGGCGCTACCGCCACACCAACCAGGCCTCGTTCACACTGGCCCTTGCTCATGCCACATCCTGCTGCCTACCTTAGAAGGTAAAAGATCACGAACGCCATGAGGTGCTTGTTGTGGCGGCCCGAGCACTAACCACATGACCAAGCCTACATGGATGACTGCCTCAACATTAACCGACAACTATATTGTAATCTCCGTTAAGAGACGATATAGCTTTACATGATTGAGGTGAGTGGGTACTATTTATATGTCAATACAGGTAGTGCAGCTTAATAGGAGTATAGGTCATCTCGCGGCATACATGACGGACCCGGAATTGCAGGCTGGTTTTCGCAGCACATACAAGGAAGGACCATTCACCTGCCAGCATAACGAGACAGTCAATCAATACTTGTTAATTGTTGGTAGTGAAGCTTGACCTATCCTCAAAGAAGCATTGTTCTACATCGGCATTTAAGCGGCAACATATAATGTAATAATGATAACTATAAACTCTAAGGCCCCGCCTGTTATTATCACAACAGTGAATATGCCTCTATCATCCCTTTTTTTTTATTCTTAAATAAGTCCCTTAATGTGAAGCCATCATGTCACCTCGCTGGTTCGGACAGGAAGAAGTCAGCCTAGACGTCGTCATTGAACTCGAAAAGCGATGGCGCGTTCTGCGTCAGAAGGAGAAGCATGGGTTTCAGGGCAGCGAACAAGACGATCCTCGGTGTAGTGGGCCATGATACGCTTGCATTCAGCTCAAGGTACAGCAAGTGGGCTCTACAATCACTCCGCCAGTAAATGGATACATGAGAATCTACAAGCAAATTCCTACGGAGGAGACTGTAGCTGACAGGCCCAAGGTCCGGGCACAGCAAGCTAAAACCGTTGTTCCACCTGAACTTGGAGCTTACCGCCAGCTGATGGACGAGGGCTCGTGGAAACTCTTCGGTGTTCGTATGTGAGTCACCACCCGCCTTCATTGACTATGACACTCTACCATGATCATTACAGATACATCATCATCCATAGGTTGTTTCATAATTTATCAATACTTTGTCACCTGACATTATTAGAATGCTTTCAATACGTGACTGTAACCTATACGCCTGATAAGGCTGAAAGATGAGTATCGTGATCAAATTAGTACACGCTGCGATATTTGAACCATGGAACATCAGGTGGGCGATAAACGCCTCGTACTTTAGCAAGCTTATATATATATACTGTCATAGCGCCGTACCGTTCTATAATCGGAAATTCAGCATGTGTAGAAGGACAACTATAAAGCCAACCAGTAAGCATGACTGCATGCCATCTTTATCGCGTACCTCTTAGAAGCGGCTATACATCACCCGATGCCTGCATCAGAAAATAATTGGTACTGTAGTTAGCATGATATTCTGTTCATTATCATTGCTAGATAAGACATTGTTTCAGCTTATCAAGTGGAGATGCTTAACACTCAATATTTGAGAGTTATGTAACATCGGCTGCTCGTTTTTTACCAGAGGTAGCTGAGCAAGGAATACATTGATCATAGAATGAAAAAGGAAGAATAGAAATTTTACGTGCAGTGAATACTCGTTTGCACGCCAATCATAGGACTGGATATTCGCATATGAGTAGAATTGTCCTTGGGAAACAACGGCCATAGTAACTTACTCTCTGTGTTGACTTTGGGATTGCCGCAACCGCCTTCTATCACCTCCTACACCCGTTCAGGTAAAGATAGAGGCTTTTTGTCGCCCAATCGAAAAGATGGCATTCCTTCTACTCCCACATTCGCACCGGCGTTGCATTTGGACCCCGCTCCCCGAGCTCATCAATGAGGAGAAATATCGGACGGGGAGGGTGGGGGGCTCCGAATACCTCTTAAGACCCGAGCAGATCGTCAGTTGGACCAACTTCGCGGATGAGGTCAAGAGCCTGGTTGCTCCATTTTGTGGGAAAGTTCATGACTTCACCCCTATTGTTCCCAGTGAAAGCTTTGGTGTCGCGAACGAGATCGGGGTGCAGGGACGTTTTGTTCAGAACGTCTTGCACCCCGTGGGTGACATCGTCAAATTGCTGAGGTTGGGTGTCTCCTTTGGCGATTCCCAATGGGGAGTGCACCGGAAGAAGGACGACGAGGGAGAGAAGAGTAGTCGCGTTGCAGGTCGAGGAACGACACTTTTCCCAGATATTGTCGTGGTTGAGAACAAAAAGCACCATATCCGTTCACTGGCCGAAATTAAGACCTACTGGGCATTTAAGCCCCACGAAAAGCAAACCTGGGATGAGTTCTTGGCTGACAAACTCGGTAAATCTTCAAGTGCATCCGGGGCGTTCCAATTAGTACCTTCACTAATGCTATTGGACATATAGGCCAACTCGCGCGCTATATGGATGATCACTATTGCCGATTCGGGTTTTATACCACCTATCGACAGACATGGTTCTTAAAACGTGTAGATGACACCCATTTTGCTGTGTTGGAGCCCATCAGTGCAAGCGCCACATCGACTGTCAGCGCAGTATCCCTACGAGAATGTCTTCTCGCTACAGCCATCAGGGCGGCGGACGCGAGAGGAAGCTACTATGCTGTCAGGCATGGGAAGGAATTGGTAAGTTGTAGCGTGCTTGTGCTTGGGATAATTGTTGACCGAACAAAACAGACTGCGCCAGGACATACGTTCACCAGGTCCTCGTCGCGCATTGCAAAAAAAAGAAAGACCGAGTTTTAGCCACAACGCCATCTGTCCCCGTAATAATTCTTTGAGCGAACAGACAGTGTAAGTTTAAATTACTTCCTAATTTGTACTACTGCCATCGGAGCTAACGAGTTCTATCTTAGCTTCTTTATTAATTGGTTTATGGCGGTTTATGTAGTCACGCCCCAGGCTTAGACTGAACTCCGCTACTCTAGTTCTGGGCTCGCCAAAGTCCCTGTTACCCAGAACTTTTAGTACTCATTTCTTGGTTTCAACGGGAACACAGAGGTATGGGAATAGTGATATGATCAATTTTCATACAGAAAGTTAACGGTGTATACCTAGTCGTGAGGTATTGGGGTCTTGAGCCTGGGTTGCCTATCTCAAAGGTAGCATAGATGATAAATGGGTTCGTTGGGGCGACGGTGTGGATGATATCCGAAATAAAGGCGTAAGCAAAACGATAGGATTGTCATACAATGAAAGCAGAGAATACAATGAGAATGTCTTTACTACGAAAGAGTTTATCTTCGCAAGCGTTTGGCCGCTGCTGATATTTATGATATGGAGCTTCATTAGTGAAAGCGGCAAGGTCTAAATCTAGGCGAGACGATTTTTCGAAGTCTATATATAGCCATTTACAAATAGCTCTCCTGTCGCGGCGATTTCAATGTCTCTTTCGCAATGTGGAAGGTGCGAAAACAGACAGGGTTATCGTCGTCAACCAGCCGAACAGTCAGTGCTCGACTGAGGGATTCCCTGTTAAATGGACCCTGACTTGGGAATGGATTTCCCCTGGCGGCGTTCACGACGAGTCAAGGAAATCGAAGTATGCGGTGTCTGCATGCAATGTGCCAGACCTACTCCGTTTCTGGAGGTCGAAGTCGGCAGCGAAGGATTCCTTGAGATCAGGGTCCATCTGAAGCGGGTAGGTGCGTGATTCTGTGGATTATTGCTCACCCAGGTCTTGGGCCTCATGTCCATCATCAGATAGCTCATTCGCAATTGTATCATTTGCATCGGAGGCTGATATGCTGTTGCTGCGGGAACTTGACCCTCGTATAGCATGGCTGTTCTCAACAGAGGTCTGGTCCGTAGGATTGGAAGCGTCAACATCGACACCGGACAAGTCCTCCGGTGTCTCAATGGAGACTACACCAGCCCTATCTAGGATAACAGAAACAAGCTCCACCGGCGCCTGTAGAATAGTTTTCATTAGAGTTAGTGCCTTCTCGCTGTACGGTTTAAATATTGCCGTAGACGGCTCCGTCAGAATCCACTCTAAGAGATCTTTGTGTATTCTGTCCAGGAAGCAGATGTACTGGGCTTTCGCATCCCACGGCACATAGATGTGCAGCCCATCCGTTATTTCTTCGATATGTATCTCGCCCTCCGAGACTTTCGCTTTGATTCCCTTCCCATCCTGCTGTAGATGTAGTTTAGAGGTGATCCCATCGGTTTCGCGAACATCGATGTTCTTCAGTAAGTCGTAAAACGCCCGCTCTCCGTCCGCTAGTCGTGGGCTCTTATAATGTACGGCAATTCTGGTACTGATGTTAATGGGTTTGCACGTTCTTGCAATTTCATCGATGGAGCTCACCGCAGTAGCCCGTAAGCCTTCTGAGATATCTTTCGATCTGGAGACGTCAGCGACCTGTAAGAGTCGCCCGTATAAGAGGAAATCTCCTTCACGCAAGACGAGATATAGCGTGTCTCAATTTTAGCCCATTCGATGAAAGACTCTAGCTGCAATACCTCTTCAGTACTAAAGTCAAGAAACAGGGCTTTGTCGAAGAAATATTGTGACAGATGTTTTCGGTCAGATATGGTGAAGTCAACTGTAGAGCTGCGCAGCTCTACGACACCGTTGCGATATCTCACTGGGAACACTCTACTTTCGAGTAGGCTAGTTGAGCTAGGAGGATCTTCCTCACTCTGTAGGTACGAGTTCAGAAGCCAGATGGTATCTTTGATCTCGTTGATAGGTGTCATCGCGCGTCCCTGCTCAAGAAGCTTGCTGTACACCATTTCCGCTGTCAATGTCTGAACACCTATTAGCTCGACAAAGAAGTCTTGTAGGTCTTTGTAGAGGTCTTTGAGCGTTACGATCCCTCTGGTATTGGTGACAGTCGACCACAAACATTGCGATGAACTATGCCAACCACCCGTGGCTTTCCCGTTACTATAAATAAGTTTCCTAAGTTCGAAGCGCCGCCTAGAAGCTGTAAGTTTCACTGCCATCGGGCCGCGATATAGATGACTTACCGGACTTTTTCTGTAGTCTCCTTGGTCATCTTCGGGCGGCACTTATCTATTTCTCTGTACATGATTAAGATTCTGTCGATATTGTCGCAGCCCTCTACAGATAAGGATTGCAGCTCGTTCAGTAAGTCGTTCAACCCAACGTTTGGTATACCTAGCGTGTTTTGAAAGAGCTTGGCAAGACAATTTCCATGCTTCACGTCGTTGTACTTCCGTCTTAGAGGGATTTTGCATTCCACGGATTGGGGCGCTTCCCACAAGCAATTGTCTGCGTACGGCCCTCCTTCATCATCCATGTTTGGTACGTGAATGAGGTTTTGAGAAGCGAAAGCAGTCCTAAGTAGACAATCAACATATCGAAAACCCCTCGAATGCACTTATACTATACCGAAGAATTGAACGATAAGAGTCTGGTGTTGAGGACTCACTGTACTGAGCCTGGATGCGTGCATACAGACCGTAGACACGCTCGATCTCATCGGGTGTTGTATGGTTACCATCACTAGATTCCTTGATAGACTGTAGAGCTCGCAGGTAGGCTTCCAACTGAGATTTTGGATAGCCGAAACCCAATGCTTTAGCCATATCGTTCAGTTCAGGAAGCCAGGAACTATCCGTTTTAAGCCATGGGAAATCATCTTCATCCCGAAGAAATTTTCTGAGGTATGAAATCTCAGGAACCGGGATATATGTCTCGCCCAGAGAATAGCTTGATCCACTCTCACAGACAACCTTAAGTTTCAACAACTCATCAATCAGTTTGCGTTTTCCCAGGAGAGCAGAATCGAATTTCCAGTTCTTGACCAAGAACCCTACAAATTTCTCAGGATGATGCTCGGCTATGAAGGTACACTCTGGGCTCAACCGGTTGGAATCTGTAATTGGAATGGTGTTGCGGACTTGCAGTGACTCCGACAACCACGTCATCCATGTCCGGCGTTCCCCAATTGGCTTTATAGGGATGGGTTCCATATAGCGACTATGTAGGATGTAAACGCCCGGCCTTGAACTCTTCCCGGTCCCGTAATGTTTCGTCGGCGTGAGTAGTTGCTCGGCACTGTACAAGTCCTTTCCAGGAAAGTAAAAGGTATGTGAATCCGGCTCCCGGTATCTGTTCTGCTGGTCTATGAGATCCATGTCGCTGTAGAAATGCGCAGAATCAATTCGGCGGTCAAGATGGGCCGTAAGGTAGAGAAATTCCAGCTGTGCTCGAGACTCGTCGAGGTCAACCGTTTTGTTGTAACTGGTACGGATAACAGCGTCTCGAACCCGAGATACCTTCGGATTCTTAACACCAAGTTGACTGAACAGTCTTTCTCGGTCGGGGTTCTTCTCAGCTTGCGGGTCTACCAAAGGCATGTTCACTTCGGGGATGAGGTAACCGTTACAGTGAGAATGGTAGATGCGATGGGTCTTTATGGAGGTTGAAGATCTCCATTCGCCGTTAGTCAGGGAGATAATAGCAAGCGCAGACACCGATTTGGGCCTTTCCTGGTAGGCTGACATCAGGACCCTAGCCACACGCGAATGCCAATCATCATCAACGCTGAATGATCTTATCAGTGAGTCGTCGCGGCTAAGATCCTGGCGAACCCTTTCCAGGAACCCATAATTGCTCAAATAAACAAGGCCGTACCCCATCAACAATTTCAAGTCTCTTGGACGATACTTAGGGGAGAGATACTGTTCGGGCTTCAAGTCTGGCAACAGAGGATTTCCATTGCTATCGAGCATACTAGAAGGTAGTCTTCGCGTACGTATGATAGGGTGCAGTGCGCTATGAGTTCTTGTCCAAAGAACATCAGACATATTTAGGTGAGCATGGATTTTGGCACTCAGTTCTTGCGAAAATGAACCGCTGGAGAGCTCATCGCGTCTTGGGAGGTATCTCATCCATTGATACTGTAAGGTTGGGTGTTGGCAAAATTCCTGCACTGCTGTAGCAAGCACCAGGCCTACATAACTGAGTAAAGTGGTATTCCGGGTTGAAGACAGAGGTATGTCCTGTCTGCTGGCGTCGGTATGAAAATCTGCATGGATCAAAAACTGGAGCAAATTAGTGATGCCCTTGGATGTTTAGCCGGAGTGTCTCACTGGAAGCCCCATTTTTCGTATCGGGAGAAAAGCATAAAGTAGCTGTTCTTCAATGATAGGAATAGAGGTTGCAGTCAATGGGAATGCGAGAACGACGTCTGACTTTGTAGAAGCCTCCGGGCACTTTCTGTTCTCGCTTACGGGAAGTTTGTCCAACGTGATTTTGGTGATATGGTAGTGTCGAGTATCCACGTGAATATGACCGTTCTCCCTTTTTTCGTCCACGAGTTTACCCCGAGACTTGCACAGGTATTCCAGTGAGTAGAGCATACTACACGTTTCCTTACTTTCATCATCATAGAAGGCAACGTCGATTTTTTCAATGTTTTTCTTAAACAGAAGGAAGGTCGCCTGAAGCTCTTGGAACTGCTGGCGGGTCGTCTCGCGTTGTTTGGCAAGGATTTCTTCTGGGCCTGTCTCGTGCAAGAACAGCGTAATTCGAGTTATGTCATTTGGCAACTCCTCTTCTCTTTCCTGCCAGATGGGTGAAATCATGCCCATCCCCGAGTCGCCAATCCTGTGCTGTAAATAGAATGAAAGTTCTCCCGACTGGATGAGAACTTTCCACGCGACCATGAATACCGACTTAAACCCAATGTCTTTTTCTCCAATATATCCTTGGACACTAGTCTTTGAACTCTTTCCGATATTGCAGATGGCGATCAGATCCTCTGGCGTGAAGCCATCCTCATTACAATCAAAAACAATTTGTCGCGGGTAGACGCGAAATGAAACATAGGGTGCTTCCGAACGGGATTTGGCCTTAGAGTAACTGTTATCATCGGCATTCTGTAACAGCTCGAATACAAACCGAGCACTGCTATTATAGACATCTTTGGCTAATCTTTGATGCCAGTCAGATCAGCAATTTCCTTCCATTATGAGAGTGCTGAGGGTAAGGATTCAAAATTCATACGTCAACACAGAAGACCCTATCATCTCGTCTTTTTTCAGCATGGCTTCCTCGACCTCTCGACGGGTATCCTGGTCCATCCGTTCCAGTATTTCCTCACTCAGATAACCACGGCCCCTAGCAATGCTCCTAACGAGCTCACGGGCGCTTTCACGGGATTCCATTGTTCAAAATGCCTGGTACGATGGATTATGTTGGGTCAGTTAAGCTCTGCATTCAGCGATTGCCCTCGAATGGACACGATTTCGGTTGAGGAGGGCCTAATACACGGCTCGGTGCTGGGGGGGAGAGGGGATGTTAATTTCCAGACCTCGGACTAGAGGGCACCTTTGTACCTTGACACGAACTACCAACCAGTCTGCCGCCATAAATCGACCGACTGCTCTTAACCCCGCTCCCAAAGCCTTAGTAGTTCCTTCACCCCTGACACGGGCCACCTATCAGCTTTGCACAGTTCTCCACATCTATCTTGATCGCCCTCGAGCCAACAGCTCATTGGGTAATCCACGTGATTGTACTGGCATTAGTTTAGTGACCGATAATAAGTCAATCCCAAAGTACCAAGACTAACGGGCCGTTCAAGTTAATCTCTACGAACTTTGAGATACAATACAAAATATTCCGCTTACCTCCGGTCTCCCGAATCGGGTAAATCGCGAGGCTGAGCTACCACCTTCCTTATGGCTGGAGGCCCCCTTCCTCGTCTCCGCCGCTCGACTGCAGGCACTGTGGCATCATAATAGTTGACATTTCAGCTTCCAGCGCCTTATAGCGATGTGGGCATTTCCTGTCATCGGCGAGTCTCTCGCCGATATCGGCCTTTCTAGTCATTATGGCCGAAGTCGGGACACCTCTCCAACATATTTTAGAGGGCATCAGCTTCCCAATGGGACTGGTGTAAAAATTTCTGACTTCTTCACCTAACCTCCTGGTGGTTCGTGCATACAGCGGCACGGCAGTTGCCGCAGGCAAGCCATGGGAGCAAGGTCACCTCCGCAAGAGTGGTGCGCAACCCGTTTTGAGCTGGAATGTTCGCCATGATACGCAGCCCGTCCGGTAAAAGCATTCCATGACCCCAGCTTGATATTCGAATATCACACTCCCGCATGAAGCAGGCATATGGCCATCTGTGTCACTCTAAGCGGCAGCGTGACAGAAGCTGCACCGTAATATCTCAACGTGCCCTGCTTGAAATAGAGCATGCTTTGGCAAACCATTCTATGGAAGGCAACTGTTTGCTGATGACAATTCTCAATTCCAGATACGTTAAGGCAGATACGTATTGCGTCCGTGAAAAGCGCCGGATTTGATGACAACAGGTGTGCTATCTGACTGAAGGACACTGCACGAAAGGCCCACAAATGTGTCATTGCTGTGGCGACTGGGAGGCTGTAGAACCACAGAGACCCCGCTACCGCGCTAATAGACCTTGGCGAGGATGGGCATGATGTTATTGGCCAACACAGAGGGCCATTTATCGTAGCTTGCAGAGACCGTTCCCACTTGTCAAGCTCCTGCAGAGTATTTATCAACTCCGCAATGACTCCTTCACACAGGGGTCCCCTCTCGTTGAGGGGGAGGGAATCTGTAGTCTGGACTCTTCCTAAGATAGATGGTAGGATAGAACCGTGGCTCAATAGCGTTTGCAATGGCGATGGTTCATGAAATGCGAAAGGTATTGTCTGCCACTCGACCGAAGAAAGGAACGTGTCTTGGCGGGAGATGCACGCCTCCAGTATCTACTTGTATATTAGTCTTGATGGATAGAATACGAGTTTGGGAAGGATGTGGCATGCGTACAACTAGGGGCCGGAACCCGATAAAGAGCTGGTGCGCGATCGGTCCAGTAAATGACTCTGGTCCACACATTTCCATCATCCGGCCGATGCCTCTGATATGAGCGATCCAGCCCTCACGGGATGTGAGTACTAACCACTTGCAGGTGTCAATAACAAGTCTTACTCTGGCCGACCGGAATGAAAGATTTGCCTACCTCAGCCAGACATAAGCACATAATAGCAGCAGCGGATTCATTGCAACCACCGTCATCTTCAGCGATTTTACTACTCAAAGAATGCACAGCTTTCGTATATGACTCAGCGCGACAGAGGTCCCATTGACTGCGTCTAGGGTCCGCATTTCCCTTGGCTATAATTGAATAGCCTAAGGTGCGGAGCGACACTGACAGAAGGGTTGTACTTCTGCTTGTGTCCAGAAGCAGAGGGACGGTCTCCAACCAGGGGCTACACAGGGTTGAGAGGTGCTGTTTGGGGCGGCCAGATCGCTCCTGGCTGTTATAGTCGGGAGTAAAATACTCCGTTACTAAAGCAAAGAATTCTTCATCTGTCGACAATCGAAAAGCCGAAAGATTTAGTATGAGACACCCGGTAGACGATCCGGAAAGTGATAGCGACGCCTCACGTGATATAGGGCTTTCCGGTGGTCCAGAAGAGATAATCTGTTTCCCAGAAGTCTTGGGTGGTAGAAAAGTCACCTCTTCATATCCCGGGTAGTCTCTCTTGGTTGCTATGCATTGAGAACAGGAAGGACGCTTTCCGTCGCACTAAGGATTTCACATTAGCGAATCCTTGTCGCAGAATATTTGAGTTGAGTAGTACAAGAGATTTGACCGGGTCGGCATCGGCGACTCACCGAATATTTCCTTTGCCGACAGTTCTGACATACTGAGCGGCTGTTTACTTTCATTTTGCACCTACTGCAGTACGGCGGAAGGCGGAGGAGCTAGCATGGCGGGAGTGACAGAACCAGGCAGAGAAGCCGAGACAGGGTCATGTGGTTGTGAGGCGGTTGAGATTTGGCGAATCCCCAGGATTAGCAAGTCTTGGCACCGAATGCTTCTTCTTATGGTTAGCGTGTAGTGTGGGTCTGTGGATCTCGGCAGCTTAGTCGGAAGAATCGCCTGCCCTTCTCTCCATTATCATTCGACAACATGGCCTATTTCCGCTCAAAAGAAGTCGAAAGAAGATAATTTTGACTTGAGATGATGGAAATGATGACCAAGCATACATCAGGAGCCTTTTTGCTCGCAGATATCACAGCGGCAGTTATGGTTTAGTTGTAGACCAAAGATATATAAATTGGGCCATGTTCCTTCGAAAACCCCTCACCAATCCCTGACTTTTCCAATCACTATTTTCTCTGTCACCTTGTTCATCCATCCCACTGTTCATTTCTGCTACTAGCAACTATCAAAATGAAGGAAGCACTTGTATTTCGCAAGAATGGGCCCATGGAGGTTAAGATTCACTCCGTGCCTATTCCCAAACCCGGACCGGACGAGGCTCTGATCAAAGTCGTCGTTAGCGGCACAAACCCCAAGGACTGGAAATTCCCTGACTGGATGGACGCATTTGACGGGAAAAACACGGGCGACGATATCGCTGGCTATGTACACGAGGTTGGCAAAAACGTCTCCGTGTTCAGAGTCGGAGACCGTGTGGCTGCCTTCCACGATTATATGACACCGCATGGGAGCTTCGCAGAATACGCCATTGGGAATGTGCACGCTACTTTTCACATCCCACCACATATTTCATTCGAGGAAGCAGCTACGGTCCCCTTGGCAGCATTGACCGCCTCAATCGCACTGTTTGCACGCTTGGGCCTACCTGAACCATGGCTCGGAAACAAATCTTGGGCCACCAAGCCTGCAGGAGGAGTTCTTGTCTATGGTGCTGCGACAGCTGTCGGATCATTTGCGATCAAACTGTTACAGAAAGCAGACATCCATCCTATCATCGGCGTCGCTGGAAGGGGTATGGATTATGCTCGGAGTTTGATGAACAGTGAAAAGGGTGATGTCGTCATTGACTACCGGGACGGCGAATCTGCGATCGTACAGAGAATACAGGATGCCATCCCCGCTGGTGAAAGTCTTCAATATGCACTAGACGCGGTCAGCGAAGCATCGAGCTTCCAGGTGGTTGAGAAGGTCCTGGACCAGACATCGGGCGCAGTGTCACTCGTTACGCCGGAGGCTCCCAAACATTTGTTCAGCACGATACGGGTTGAGTTCAGCAACGTTGGAAGTAGCCACGGGGAAGACAAGGATTTCGCTTATGTGTGGTCGCGAATGATTAGCAGGGGCCTCAGTGAGGGTTGGCTCAAGCCTCATCCCCATGAAGTAACCCCGGGTGGTCTGGAGGGTGTAGAAACCGCTCTGAATAACTTAAGGCTGGGAAGGCTAGTGCTGTGAAGTATGTTTTGAGGGTTACAGAAGAGTGAAGGAAGGTGAAATGCCAGTCGGACTTTAACTATAATTTCAAATCTGAAACCATTATAACTTATCTCTGTCCCAAAAATGACTACCATGACTGTAAATGTTACAAGAAGACCCAAAACGGCTTGCGATATTCAGAATTACTTCAACCGACAAGTCCATCATCGAACGAGGCATCCTCTGCAGTCTATATCCACGAAACTTCGAAACAGTAAAAGCGCAAAGAAAATAAGCATTATATTCAGAAAATTATGGTTTGCTCCAAAGATGATATAATATTGAATAAGCAGCCTTTTGGGCACCCCAGAGAAATGCTCTATCATAATTTAACTCCCCTTGCGCGTACGTCTAAGGTCGCATGCACAGTAATAGCCGGGAATACAAATTTAAATTATGATAGGGAGCTCCATTGTATTGTTTTGGGCAATCATAATTAGCCATTCGATGTGAAGCAAGCTTTGTTTACCGATTCTAACTACGGCAGGTATTGTACAGAGGATCAACCGACAGCCAGTCTGCATTCTTGGAAACAATACGCCCATCCTTGAGAATAGCCACGAGATGATGCTGTATGCGATCAAGGATGGTAATGTCTTCCAAAGGATTAGATGTCAGGATTAGCATGTCCGCAATACTGCCCTCTCTTATGCACCCGAGTTGGCCTTCCATTCCCAAATACCGCGCTGCATTCACAGTTGCAGATTTCAAAATGTCCTTCGCGCTTAGAACGCTGGACCTAATCGAAAACTCTTGGTTCTGTAAAGGATGCAGGCCAGCCAAGAGGTCGGAACCATAGCATATCATTGCCCCTGCCTTGTGCAAGATTGACAAAGCTTCTAGACCACTATCCAGAACTTGTCGATTCTTCGCCTGGCTGAAATCATCCAGGAACTTGTCAAAGGGTGGCTTGGACATGCCATAATAGGTAACCAACGTTGGAGTAAAGACAACGCCCAATTCTGCACAATACGACGCAGTTTCCTCGTCGATGAAATTACCATGCTCGATACCTCGAACACCATTATCAACAGCATGACGAATAGCATCCACAGTGTAGGCATGTGCCGTGACATAGGTCTTGGACTGCTTCGCTGTTGTTGTGATCGCGCGAATCTCTTCCGCAGTAAACTGCAGCATATCAAGTGCATCTGACGGTGTTGCTACGCCACCACCGCACATAATTTTCAAGAAGTTGGCTCCTTGCCTGAGCTCGTCGCGGGCAGCCTCCAAGCACTCTGGGACACCATTGCATACCCGTGCCAGTGCCGGGCTGTGACCGCCACAGCATTTATACTCGGACCCCTGATAATTGGCTCGCAAATCGCCGTGTCCACCCGTTTGCGAGAGTGCTTTGCCAGCAATGAATAGCCGTGGACCTGCAACCAAGCCTTCTTCAATGGCTTCGCGGAGGGAATAGTCGGCACCACCGGTATCGCGGACCGTGGTAAATCCTCGGAGAAGCATCTCGCGTGCGGCAAAGGTGGATCGATAGGCGATGGTATTCGGACTGGCAGAAAACATATCCTTTAGAGATGGAGAGCCCGGAGTTGCCGTAATATGCACATGGCAGTCGATTAAGCCGGGGCAGATATACTGTCCGTTTAAATTCACTGCATCGGGAGGAGTCGCTACATCGCCAGTCGATACTTCCACGATACGCCCATTCTTTATATGAACAACAGCATCAGGAATAATGTCGCCGGCTTCCACATCCACAACATTGGCGTTATAAAATATGATTTCTGGGGCTGCGGCTCGAGGCAACCATGGCTTGCTCGTATTGTTGCTACTCATTGAGTCGGCGGGTAACTGCATGCTGAGATATGTTTGAAGTCAGGAACGAGACGCAACCGATAGATTGCAATCTGGTTCGTGGAATTCTGGACGGATTGATGAGGCTTTTTACTTCCTCGTTACTGAATTGCGGAATTCTATCCCGACTGTGTGTTGAAGCACTTAGTCTCTCGGTTACGACGACGGGAATGTTGAATCATACCCCTCATCTGTGTGCGGGGAAACACTGATAGCGGAATTGATACTGCCAACCGAGGCTAGCTCGACTTATAGTCGGCCGAGGATAACAACAGTAAGCGATTTGAGATGGCGTAGCTACTGACATTCTTGGCGTTTTGATAACGCATAAGTCTGGCAACTGTGGATGGGGTGTCCCTCTTCACGTCGATCCAAGTCATGTCATTTCAGTGGCCCTTAATATTACTTCCTATATGCACGAACATGTCACGCCATGACTCGTGAATATCGATAGTAATGCCAATTAGTATCCTGAGCATGACACGGCCGAATCCCGGATGGTGTTGTAGAGGCATATACGCTGTGTTTAAAAGCAATGCAAGTGGAATTCAATACTGCCGTACTCTGATTGCCATTCACCCCAAAACATGATAGGCTGTGATTTTACATAGCCGGAAAAGAAGTGATCAGATGTGCATGATAAGCATAATATATTGCCCAGTTCCTAGGAAAGAAATGAAATGCTCTAGACTTGTTCAGTCACACATTGATATCTGGGCTTTGGCATGATAAAGCCTTTCACGCTGTGATCTTCTCACCTAGTAGCTCTTGCATAGTGTCAGCTACTATCATGACGGTGTCACCTTTGGAGCAGCATTTGCTTAGGCGGGTTCTGAGTCAGAATCTTCATCACAAAAGCTGCGCTCTCGATCTTCACCAGGCCTGTAAGCTAGCAATATCTTTATTAGTTGCAGATACCCCATTAAGGTACCGCGGAGAATATCCGAGCGCCAACCCTGTCATGTAGTTGCAGAAACTCGACACGAACCCTCATTTGCCGAGAAGTTATCATATCGCAGTGTTCGGAGATTTACCCCGCATGCCACAAACAAGGAATGTACAACGCACTGGGTGACAACATAGCTGCACTGGCTCTGCATAACTGGGAAGATAATTCTCACTTCAAGGGTCATACCACGCTTATTACATTACCACAAGAGTTACTTCCGATACTGATGATGGAATTCGAAATTAAGACGACAGACCAAGATGCAGCGAAAGATGTTAACATCGATGTCGTGACTGTTCAGTTACATTTCACGGCGGAGGAAGAAAAACGCGTAGTGAGGAAGATCGATTGTTTCATTCTACCATTGGTTCGTAATCCTCTCCTGAAATCCCGACTCCAAGCTAACACCGACTTCACAGATGTGCTTGGTGTTCTTCTTTCAATGTGTGTAGCCGGATGAGGACTTGAGGTCTGCCCTGGCTGACATCCCAGACCTCGACAAGCAGAGTCTTAGCTACGCGTCGGTATTCGGGCTTATTGATGATCTTTCCCTGGAGGGGTCTGAGTATTCTTGGTGCTCATCATTATTTTATCTCGGTAAGGGATACGGTTGTTCTGTTGTAGAATAAGCAAAGTGATCCGTGACGCTCTCTCCAGGTCAACTAGTTGCAGAGTATCCCTTCATATACTTGATGAGCCGGCTTCCTCTTACAAAGTTCGTCGGTGCAACAATGTAAGTCTGCGGCTTTGATGGACACATTCGTTGAATCCTAACCAAGTTAATCGATAGTGTTTTCTGGGGTGCTGTGTGCATGTGCCTTGCGGCGCCTACAAACTTTGCAGGGTTCGGGGCTGTAAGGTTCCTTCTTGGAGTTACAGAAGGGGCTGTCTCTCCAGCATTTGTGACCCTCACTAGCATGTGGTACAGAAAACAGGAACATGCTTCAAGAGTGGGGTAAGGCATTGGATTTCAAAAAGCTCTGTTTAGCGATACAATTTACTGACTTCACAACCAAATATAGCATCTGGGTGACGATGAACGGCCTTGCCCAAGTCCTTGGGAGCCTGCTCATGTACGGAATTGGGAAACAACACTACCCGCGGCTTGAACCATGGAGGGTTCTCTTCCTCGTCTGCGGTGCACTTACAGCCGCCTTTGGTGTCGTCTTCTACTTTCTAGTGCCTACCGGTCCTCAGAAAGCATGGTTCTTATCTGACAGGGAGCGAGAGGTCCTACTGGCGAGAATGGCGCAAGACAGAGAAGGAGGTGATAAGACCAACTTCTCAAAGTCACAGGTGAAGGAGACTTTATTAGATGTCCGAGCTTGGTTTATCTTCGCTTTCGGCATCCTTGTCACGATGCAGTCGCCAGTTCTAACGGTATGCCTCTATTTACTCTCTAACCATTTCCTCGATGAAGAAAGCTCACGCAAGTCAGTTTGCTTCCTTGATTATCAAGAACCTCAACTACGACAAGTATCAAACCATGTTGTATACCTCCCCATCAGGAGCTGTTCAGATTGTCGCGATCTGGATCGGTGTACTCGGCTGTCAACTCCTTCCCAACAACCGTAGCTTGGTGGTTATTCTACTCTCCATCCCTCCCTTGATTGGCAACATACTTCTCTTAAAGCTTCCACTTACGACAGGATGGGGACTGATAGTGTCCTCTTGGCTAGTACGTTTTGACCCCTCTGTCTCATATGAAGCGTGCGCTCACCCGTGATGCTAGGCGTCCTGCATCTCAGATGTGATGGTCATCCTTCTTAGTCTGAGCGCATCAAATGTAAAAGGAAATACGAAGCGGGCGATGGCCAACACGATGTATTTCATTGGCTATTGTGTTGGTTGCATCGCAGGTCCGCAGCTGTGGCAGACAAAATCCGCGCCCAGATTCTTTGAAGGGGTAGTTACTGCAATTGTAACGTGGTGTGTGCTGGTACTAGTTATGGTCCTTTATTGGTACTTGTGCAGGGCTGAGAATCTGAAGCGAGACCGGGAAACCAGCACTTCTGCCGAGGTCGTTTTGCATACCGAGGATGTAACAGATATTGAAGATCGACTCTTCCGCTACAGTTATTGATAAGGCTCTAGATTAGGAGGACCGTTGGGGCGGGTCCGCCATGCTGAGCAGTATTGGATCAGTGGCTTGTGGATCTAGGGAACAGATAAGAGCGCAGTTAAATATGGTCGCTAGCAATCTATCTCAATTACGTTTCCTAGTCGCTAGCAATTGCCATAGCAGTCAAAGATACTTTGACCAAGGAGAATCAACAAAAGAAATTATCTTTTCCAGAAAATCATATATCTATAATGAAACTGTTTTCGCCGTTCCGTAGATCGAATATCTAGGGCTGCTTATCACAGTACAGAGTGTTCCCCGCACAGTGTATTTATATATTTCTGAAAAGAAGTTGAGCAAAAAGGTCTATGACATACACCTCAACCGAAACCCAAACACTAATTCTAACGGATTGGTACAAGTCTCCATTACCAACTGTTTAAATAACATATAGTGTCTTTCATTACCTCTCATTACTTCACTTCATATTGGAATATCGGGAAACAAATGAGAATATTTTCGAGTCTTCAAGAATTTATCATACAATAAGTTTCATTACATTATAGGTATCGTCAGATGCAGATGTAACCAACAAGCCTTACTAGCTCTAGCCCCCCCGTCCCCCGTCCCTATTTCAAACCATCCTTCTCCCTCAAAACTTTGTATATCTAACATATAACTCCATCTGTCTCCGTTCCACCCCAAAGCCACAAGAAGAAAGAAGGAGGATGCCCCCCAATATATTCTCCAAGCTTCTCCGTCCCCGCAAAAAGGACGCAGACCCAGATCCCAACCCTCCACCCCGCCGCACCTCCCCGGAAGCCCCCGGAATCCTTGACACCAACTGCACCATTATTACCCAAAACCAAAAGCAAAGACGGTATAAACTTCCTATCCCGGACCCCGAGCACCGCCAGCGCCAACTCCAAACCCTTGCCACATCATCTGCCAGACCTCAAAACCCACAGTCTCAAAGCGCATTTTTTTCCAGGCTACCACTTGAGGTCCGTAATATTATTTACAGGGAGCTATTTGGTGGGGGGAGAGTGCACGTTGATTATCTGTGGAAGAGACCGTCTGCTGTTGTCGCGCGGCCGCCGACGGGAAAAGACAAGGGGAAGAAGGCCGATGCTCTTTGGCAATGGTGGCACCGGGTATGCGCGGTCAGCGATGAGTGGGTGGATGATCGATTCGAGGAGCGATGTGTGGATGCGCTCGATGAGCGGGACGAGACGCTGCCTTGGGGCTGGGAGAAAGCAGCACCCCCGGGAACCAAGTTGCAAGGCGTGGCGGCGATGCTGACGGTTTGTCAGATGGGGTGTGTGTGGCTTTTTTCTTTCTTTTTTTTTACCCCTTATTTCCTATTCCCTTTGGTAGTCTTGCGTGTGGCCCTCTGTAACTATAGACAAAAAAGATACACTGAATCCCTGCCCATCCTCTACACCACAAATACCTTCGTCACAGGCCCCAGCATGGACACCCCCTTCATCATCCGGCGCCTTCTTGCGCCCCCCTACACAGCCCTCATCACCGGCATGGACATCGCAATCACAATGGCCATGCCCTACACTGCGCCTCCGGATCTTCCTGGAAACTGGACGACGGTTTATCCCGCGTTCTTCGATCTGCTGCAGCATTCGTTTTCCGGTTTGCGTCGCCTGCATTTAACTATTTACCTTAACCCATGGGAAAAGAGCAAGGAGCCTGTTACTGGAGTCGCTAGAGGGGTTCTTAGCGCCGTGGAAAGAACTTGAGGCAAGTCGTGAGTGGACAGAGTTATGTTTTTTTGTGCCGGGGGATTGGTTTGAGCTTCTGAGGGGGAGGTTTGAGACGCAGCTGGAGAGGCAGACTGAGAGGAGGTGGGCGTTGAAGAGGACGAGCGTTAGGCCGCTGGTGGTGGGGAGTTGTTTCTAGGTTTTAGGTGGGAGTGTATTGTTTTGCTCGCTTATTGATGTACAGATAATAGAGGAATGAGTGAGAGGAATTTAGATCAATTCAAATGGTAGACTGCCTAGAAGGTCTACCTGTTTCCTTTCCCCCTCCCGTTTTTAAGCTGTCGCCGTCGCCGTCGCCGTCGCAGGCACAGGCGTTCCACTGTTGATTTTGATGATGGGCCCAGTGGTTCCAATGCACACGTACGTCGAAGCCTCAAGGCCAGCGCAGTCTGTCCCCAATGCGGGATTCCATGAGTAGAAGTCGCTACCAAAACAAGACAAAAGTCATTAGCTCTGTGAAAACCCACCAGACAATCCCAACCAAAAAGGTCAAATAACATACCTAAGCTGCACTATCCTAATGTTCTTTTGCAGAGATTTCTAATATTATCATAGTACTTTCTGTAAACATTCTTTTTCTGGTCTTGTTAGGAGCTATTACCCTGGCAGACAGCCCTACGGCGACTATTTCTGATATCGTGATAACAGGAATCACATTAAGCGCAATAGATTTATATAATAAGGATAAAGATAGTTTATATTTATAGAATAGACTAATTCTTAAAGAATTAGTAGTCTAATACTGAAGAAACAGTGCCCTATAAGTAATAAAAAAATGAATAATTATTATTAATGATTCTGTAATACTTATAGTTATTTTAGTATATTATCCTGGTGACCCTGAGCACAATAAGTAGGTTATCCTATCACAAATAATTAGACTCCTGAAGAAGGCCCTGAAGCACCAGTAAAAATGACTAGATTTTTATAAGGGATCTTAGGTGAGTACAGTCATACTAATACTGTTGTACGTTTTTATACCTTTTTGGAGCTCTTTATAATATGTAAATTTGTGTCTTTGATGCTGGGGACGTAAGTAGATCGTTAAGCTATTGTATGTTGGTCCCAAGCCATGGTAACTCGTGGATGTCGCCCTTATCTCTGCTTTGATCGGCCGCCTTGCACGGAAACCAATCTAATCCCTACCACGGATTCCCTAACTTTGCAGGAGCCTAGATTGTTTTTAATGAGGGCTACTGATGTCTGAGGAACCTTCCCTAAAGCTTCTCACCCTCGAAATGTCCAGCTCAATCAAACACCCACACAAACCCAATACCCCAACCACAGATTCGCACAGGATGAACCCACGTACGGATTCCACCTATTAAACTGACCCACAGTAATACCTGCGTCCTGCTCTATCGACCAACAATTGTCCCCGTCAGCTACCAAATGCCACTTCTTGCATGTATCGATCGTATCGGGCATTGGCGCCTGCTTCTGTGTGGCAACACAGTAATAGTAACCTGGTTGCAGGTTGATACAGTCTGATCCGACAGCGGGATTCCATTCTTCGAAGAGGGAGGTGGTCAGGTAGGTATATTTGTTGTTGACGATAGACCAGCAGCTGTCGCCGGATTTGGCTTGGTAGTAGGTTGAACAGTCATCTACTAGGCCCGACTGGGTAGGAGATGGAGCGCTGCTGGTGGGTGTGGAACTGCTAGCCGTTGATGTGGATGTGGAGGTAGGTGTTGTGGTGGTTGCGGAGGTACCGCCTGGAGTTCATCAGTTTGCCTTGAGAAGAACAGGTTATAGAGGCGGGGAGGATACTCACCAGAGGTACCAACGCAGACCCAGTAGTCAGCTTCAAGGTTACTACACGTTGTTCCTACAGCCGGGTTCCAAGTGTAGAAATCGCTTAGGCTGATGTCGTAATTGATAGCAATGTCAGAGCAAGTATCGCCGTGGTTAACATAGTAGTATTTATTGCCTGCCGTGAATTAGGTGAAGTCGGGCGGCGATGATGAAGGAAGGGGTCTATACAGTTTGATGCGATTCCCGTCTGCTCAGGTAGGTAAGACCCAGTAGTAGTAACCGCTGAAGCAGTATTGGTAGCAGGAAGTGTGGTCTGCGACACCAGAGTGGTGGACCCGGTGACACCGATGCAGACGTAATAGTCTGGCTGTAGGCCGGAGCAGTCGGACTTGACGGTCCTGTGCATCGTTTTAGCCGTTGAAGAAGTCTCAATTAAGTGGTACGCTCTTACGGGTTCCAGGAGTAAAATTGGTTGAGCGTAAAATTGCCGTACGAGTTAACAATTGCCCAGCAAGAATCGCCCGTTTTGACATAATAAAATGCATCACAGCTCGAGCTCAGGCCGCTTTGAGTCGGGGAAGGGCTACTCGCACTGGTGGTTATGTCTGACGCAGATGTCGCCGTGGTAGTAGGCAGGAGCGTGGAAGTTGTTGTAGACATAGTGCTGGTGAACGAGGGTGTGGTTGATATAGCTGGTGCACTAACACAGTAGCTCCAGCCTTCTTTGAGGGCACAGTTAGTGATTGAGAGAGAAGGGTTCTGTAATCCATTAGCCTTGTCCATCTTCATGATAGGAAGGAGCTCATCTTACCCAGAAAGTCAGCTGTGTAGCCGTGATTCCATAGTAGCTCTCAAGGTCCGCACAAGTATCTGTTGAGCCAATAGAATTCGCCCAGTATGTACATGCACTGGCCACATTGGGGTCAGTATTACCAGTTGGGAAGTCACCATTGTCAAATCTCTTGTTGATGGCAAAACCATGGACAGATGCGAATATGGCGAGGGTGAAAAAAGGAGTGGAAATCATTCTGTCCAAACAATTGAAGCTACTCGATTACTTGTCTTTCGTTTGTAAGTGTAGGAAGGGGAACCGAATTATAGACCTAGGGGCCATGGCTAGCGGTGTTACATATATATCTCAGTCTTACTCCGATGCCGGCTTTCCGTGGCTGACAATTATCAAGATAACCTGGAAAAGAGTTTAATTGCTACATATTGCCCACCTGCATTACCTGCATTAGTTCGCTTAGTGCTACTACCTCGCTACCTTGCTCGGCTTTCCGGCAGCTCCTGCAGAGCCGAATCTACCCCGTGGCCACCGTGTCCTTCATCTACGGATAGGGCTCAATAATCATACGATACTATGAGTTTCCGAAGGAAGCACTTGAATAGGGGGCTTAGCACCAAGAAATTATCTACCTTTATTCCTTAAAAATTGATCAGGTAATCACTGGATCTTTTCCCATTATGTGGCCTTGCTACAAAATTTCTCTACTTCTCATCAACCATTATGAGAATCTAGCTAAGTTCTGTATACATAGAATTGAACCCTCCTTGCCCTTGCTGCTGAGTTATCTTGCGGTTATTAGGACACGTAGAATCTACCATACTCGCTGTTCCTCCAATACTCTCGTTCGAGTTCCGAATCGTAGTCACCGTCAGAGTCGTTGTAATCATCATTAGATACAGCCGTAGCCCACAAGCTCTCCGGCTCTGGCTCTCTAGTTCCAGAAGTATCAATAATTCCCTGTCTGCGAGATTTAATATCCCACATGGATCCATCCCGGGGCCTGGGATTTTCAGGGTCCCATCCAAAGGCGTGCCACATGTTGATAACGTTTCCGTCATGTAGGTCGCGTTCTGCGAAAGGTGTCAAAAGCGACACAGCCTCGGTAAAATTCCTTTCAGTGGCAAGTTCCAAGTCTCGTGGGCCGGGAAGGAAGCCTTTGTCGAGGAGGAGCCTCAGGATGTCAAGCCGCTCATACAATATAGCCATAGCAACGGCGCTATACGCAGTACCGAGAAAGAGACCAGACGGCGGATACAGCTCACAACATACATCCTTGATGGCCCCATTATCGATCAGCAATTCAGTCATTTCGTAGTGGCCGTCTCGAATAGCTGTGAATAGGGCTGCAGAACCGTAATTCACCAGATCCATGCCGTATGCGAGCAAGAGCCGAAGCGTATCGCGATCGTCTTCATGGGCAAGGTGACACACCGCATTATCACCGTATAGGCCAAGGCCATGATCTAGCAGTAGCCGTATAACTTCCGGCTGCTTGGTGAAAATGGCCCGCTCGGTTGGGCACGGGCACTCATGAGGCCCCGGACGTGCGCCAAGAGCCAGAAGTCGGGGTAGGATGGCGTTGTAGCTGGCGGCCACGGCGACTCCGAGGGCAGATGGGGCGCCGCTTGATTCTGTTGCAGGATCCAAGGGGGCCTTGTGAGCAAACATTAGCTCGACTAGCTGTTCATCGTGCTGGCGCAGCGCCCAATGCAGGACCGACCGCAACTGTGCCGGCGATGCCGTTTGGCCCGACCGGGTCTCCCCAAGAAGTGTTTTGAGGATTGCGGTGTGGCCCCCCTGGGCTGCGTATAACAAAGCATTATTCTTGGCCCACGGATCGATGTCCCTACTGTTCTGAACCTTCCTTTCCACATACCGGGGAGAATAGGCAGAAATGTCGGCCCCGGCAGTGAGGAGCTTGGTCACCAAGCGAGTCTCTCCCTTTTGGGCAGCCCAAGGTAAGGCGGAGCTCTCATCATGTTGAACATTGTATTCGCAGAGAACAGGGTGCATCGCGTGATACAGGCGCTTATTCGTCTGCATCAGATGACTGATATCGCGTTGAGTGGTTAGGTATTCAGCCACCCAGCGTAAAAGTTCTAAAGGGAGGTTGCTAAGGGACGCCATCGTAGTAACAAGTTGACAAGAAACTGGGGTGGCAGATGGTGAGGAAGGGCCAACAGTCATTTAAAGAAGCGCCCGACCGATGGACTAGTTGCTGCCCACTAATCCACTAACTAACTAACTAGTACGTAGATAGCTCCCTAATGAACTAACTAGCACAGAATCTATTTACCCAGCCGGGCTATGTGGCCCTGACCAGCTAACTAACTAGTTAACGACACGATTAACCCGACTACTTCACGTAGAATAATCTATATCCATATACTCTTGTTTATCTTGACTCCAAAAGTCCCAAAAGGGTTTTTCCCCGCAAATTCCCCGCGACCAGTTACAGGCGGAGTAATACATGGCTAGGGCGAAATACGTGATACTGTCTGGCCCAGCTGTCAGCAAAAGTGCGGGAATCCTTACATAGATAACGGTAGTTGGGCGGAGACTGTATTACCTGCGTTGCGATGAGCCCCAGCTGGATCAATTTTTGACACGGCCCAGACGCCGTTTCATTGATACCCATCGATGAACGGACCTAGTGGGAAAGGTCGAAGCCTTAGGTCCTCTGAGATTTTATCCTCCCGGTTAGTTATCCGGGAAAAAAAACCTTTTTCTCGTGAGAACTGGGACAGCTTACTGGTCTGGTCGTCCCCAAGGATGCCACGGCAATGGGATAGCTCGTGTAGTAAACTGCCTGCTGCGGTGAATTTCTTGATGTAATCGACATGTCGCCCTTTCAGGCTGTCAACAGTATTGTCTAAACTGCTCAGAGTCTGCGACGTCTTTGCATTGTCGAAAACCCTCGGGCAGATGCAAATTTCGTCTTCTACAGTGAGCTTGTTCCACATCTGCCATCCGTTGCCACCCCCATTCTCGTGGCATAGTCTTCCGGGCTCCGGCAATATCATATAAGGCTGGGACTCTGTCGATCTGGTATCTCGATATACACCTGGTTTGGACTTGTACGTCAGGCAGGGAAAGGGAAATGTGGCACTGAAGGGGGAACACTAACGGGTGTTCTTGGTACTGACGTCTTTATCAAAGACATAGAATTCATCACCACAGTGGATGGTAAGGGACAGCGTTCTATCCCGCAAGGCGTTGTAGATACGGCTGTAGACACCTATCATGGAACCTCCAATGGTCAGACTTTCTCCTTCAGGGCGCGATGTTTGGAAGGTCGTGAGATTAACTGACTTATCATGAATTGCATATTCCGTGAAGTCGTCGTCCATGAAGCCAGGTTATCTTGATTTTCTTTCGATTCAACCTCATAATTAAATCTAGTTCTTCCCATCATTGAAGCCCAGGAGGTTAAGATCCGGTCATTATCGGCGAATCGAGTTCCCCAGTTGGCTGGCTGTTCTTTTTCTCTAATAACTGCTCGAATATCTCGGAGTTGACGCATGACACGGATCATCTGCCAGCGGTAAGTAGTCTGTCATAGCACCGAGTGGGAAAGACATGTAATATCCGTACCACTGGCTGGAGCTCATCTAGCTCAGTATCTATATAGGCCTGCTCCTCAGCACTGCAGGTGGGGCCATACTTGACTCTGGGATACCGTGATGCTCTTTTGACCAGATGCCTCGGGAGGAGGTCGGATACATTGGCGGATGGGACAACATCAGTATCTGTAGGAAACGGCTCGAATGGGAAGGCTAGGGAATGGCAAAACAATAGCGCCCAGAAAAGGCCCATTGCAGTGGCAGCGCGTTTAAACATAGTAGTAGTGAACCCTAAAATTACTTTGATATAATGAATGAATGAATGGACGAACGAACGTAGTAGAATGAAAGCTTGTCTGAGTGAGCGGTTAGTCTTCTTTCCGAATGAGCTACTGGATTAATGACCGAAAAAATTGTTAAAAAAGTCACATCTACACTCAGATAGAGAAGGAGGCTGGCTTGATAAACGAACCGGATGATGCTCCCCTTTCTATGGTATGAGGGGCATGGTATTGCTATTCCCATAGTGCAACACACTACTGAGAATCTCAAGTACGCTTTTTCCGGGTACGCCTTTGGCCTTCCTGCCTTCCTGGTAGATGCTCGGTTTGTTACGGATCCCAAGTGCATCAAATTTCCGATATGCCTCCACATCTCCCTCACTAGGCCCAGGACATGCATATTGCTCCTGATGTCTCGCGGAAGACGGACATCCGCTAATATGGAAGGAAGGGATTATTGTATAGGTACCACCATATCTCATTGGGAAGGTTTCACTCCTAATGCAAGAGCAGTACTGGGGTTGGGGTAACCAACCATTGAATCAATGTGGACTATGCCGACGCAGGGTCAGGAGGAGACAGGATATAGATTAAAGCTGAAAAAAGAGTCAGGTACGGAGAAAGGTCCGGTGCGCCATTTTCTGGCCATATTGATTAAATGGCTGTCCCTGCATAGTGCTCTTATCTTCAAAGTCTTATGTTGCATTGCTAACAGCTCCTTGTGGAGATGAAAACAAGAACCGTTCAATTAGTGGCCCCACCTGGTGATGATTTGGCGTATACCCGCTCTCAGAAGCTGACACTAGAAGCTTAGCTCGCTCAGGGTCCTCAATAGAATCGGAAGGACCCGGACCCTTAATACACTAGGGCTTAGTGCTTATGCCAAGCAGCCAATTTCCGTCGGTGGCCGACGGTTACTGTTAGCCGAAGTGATCGGACATCGAATGGTCGACAGTCCGATATCGCAAAATCGAGAACATTAATCAAAAAAAGTAAATACTTGAGTAAGTGAGTTAGGTCACGGCTTTCAGTTAGTGTCTTTACTGCACCCGTTAAGGTGAACGGCGACAATGAAAGTGGACACCTATGGATAGAAATTGTCGTCTTAGCTTAGTATAAAAGCCGTTTAAAATAATAGGGAAAAGCCATAGTCAGCTTTCTCCGACCAGAGAGCAGATTAAATCTATGTGCGGACTTTTGCAATGCAACGATCAACAAACGCGTGGTGGTTCTTCCTGAGCGCCTTGAGCGTGCTTCCTTCGGTACAAGCAGCCGTAGGCTCCTGCTCAGCAACTAGTCCATGCGACACTGGGTGTTGTTCAAGATATGGATCTTGTGGCTTTGGAAAGGAATTTTGTGGAGATGATGTGTGTATCTCCAACTGCCATGCAGTAGCTGAGTGTGGAGGTATGTCGCGCTGTTTGGAAGGTGCCCCTGGGCTACATTAACATGTCTCCCAGAATATGCTGCAACGCCTGGAGCAAGTTGTCCTTTGAATGTCTGCTGTTCCAAATATGGGTATTCTCACTCGCTTGTTAGAAGTTTTGACTTCTGCTGACTCACTATAGCTTTTGCGGTACCGCCGATGACTTCTGCGGCACTGGATGCCAGAATGGCTGCGACGCCATCAAAGAACCGTAGGCATTGGCCAAATCTATTACCATGGCATCTACTGATTACATCGCATGATAGTACTTGTTCTGGATCGTCTAGCGAGGCCGTCTACATTGGCTACTATGAAGGCTGGAACCCAGCTCACCCTTGTGATGTAGTCTTGCCTGAAAACATCAATGTTGATCCGTGGACGGTAAGCATTATTTCAGCCCCTCCTGTCTTAACATTAAGCTAAGCATCACCCATACATAGCACCTCTACTATTCCTTCGCCGGCATCAGTACATCTGACTTTACCATCACCACGACCCATGACAAAGATAAAGAATACTGGTTTAGGTTCACTGCCCTCAAGAAGAAGAAGCCGTCGTTGAAAACGTATATTTCTGTCGGGGGATGGGACCTGGGAGGCGAGGTATTTTCCCACATGGTACAATTTCCAGGGGCACGCAAGGCTTTTATTAGTTCAGCGCTCTCGATGATGTCCGAGTATGGGTTTGACGGAATTGATATCGACTGGGAATATCCCGCTGCCGAGGATCGTGGTGGCGCATCGACCGATACCGAAAATTTCGTGACTTTTCTCTCCGAATTGAGAGCCGCCCTGGGAACAGAGTACGGTCTTACTTGCACTATACCCTCTTCCTACTGTGAGTACAGATATTTTATCAAGTCATCGCGATATATACGTACCCTTAGCTAACAGATAACAAGGGTGTCTGAAAGGCTTCAATGTTACCGGGATGGAGCCCTACGTTGACTATTTCAACTTCATGTCATACGATATTCATGGTATTTGGGATGGCAAAAGCAAGTGGACAAGCTCTGACGTGAACCCCCACACCAATTTACCGGTAGGGCATCCTATTGGATTGTAGTAATGTAATACTGATCTTGAACAAGCTAACCTCATTCACAGAGATCTCTTCTGGACTTGATCTCTTGTGGCGCAATGGAATTGACCCTGGCAAAGTTCTGCTCGGCCTGGCGTTCTATGGACGGTCATTCACGTTGGCTGATCCTTCATGCAATACTCCGGGGTGTCCCTTCAATACTGCAAACAACAGCAGTGGTGGGGGAGTTGCTGGAGAGTGCACCCAGACTAGTGGAATACTATCCGACTACGAGATTAATCGCATCATGGAAGACTATTCAGTCAACATTAAGTATGATGAGGCATCCGGAGTGAACTGGATGACATGGAGCGGAAATCAATGGTGAGTAATTTCTGTCTGCATGACTCACCCGCATGTCTTGATCTGACCGTAACATTGCATCAGGGTCTCATTTGACAATGCTCGCACTTTGAAGCAAAAGGCAGACTTTGCCAATAGCAAGTGTCTAGGAGGTTTATTTAGCTGGGCTCTCGATATGGGTGGGCCTGGGTCTCTCAAGAATCCGAACGACATGTCTTCTAGCGACACCGGCATGGGTGGTGCCAATACTGAAGGAGGAAGTGATGGCACCGGTGTCGTCTATGTGGGGCCGGAGGTGTTTACCTCGCCAACTGTAACTGCAATAGCCCCTGTCGACATTATATTTCCTCAGGATATCCTTGGCAGCCCGACAGTGATTTCGCCCGAGTCATACCCAACAAGCTTGGAGGTTGTCTGGAATACCACGACGACCGTCATCTCGGGTACATCCACTGGCGTCAGCACGGGAATAACCCGCTACATCATGCCCACCAACATCGCCGTGCCCCCAGTGACGATCGGAACCATCAACTATTACAATTGGAACATCACCAATCCACACATAACCTCTGCACATGGAACCTTAATCCCCAGCATCGACCTACCCCCCGTGACAGTCATCGATGACCCGAATCCACTAAATGAAACAGGCATTTCTCACTCCCCACTGGGGACGCGGGTGATCCACATCCCTCCTTGGCCGTGGTCGACTGGGGGCACAGTATATTCGAATGTCACTTTTAATCAAGGCAGCCCTCCTGGTCCGACATGTACTGCCAACTGTGGTCACAAGTGCAGCAACTTTTGCGATGGACCCTGCCTAACAGATTGCGGTAAAAATAGCTCTTCGGGATTTATCGATCCCTTGGATACTGACCCACCATCGGTAAACAAGTGCTCGGGCCCGGGATGTGTCAATGGAAAATGCACGGGACACGGGCTCTGTATTGAGCGTGGTTGTACTGGCTCTGATTGTCAACATCGGGTGTGCGTGGGAGAGAACTGCACTTCTACTGCATGTACTGGGCGAGACTGCAAGGATGGGCACTGCACTGGAAGCAAGTGTAAGGATCATGGCTGCATTGGTACTGACTGCAATGATTATGACGACGAGAATGATAGCGGAGACGATAGCGGGGACAATGGTGGTGATGACGGTGATGATACTGGTGACGATGGAGATGATAGTGGCGACGATACTGGTGACGATGGTGATGATAGTGGTGATGACGGAGACGACAGCGGAGATGATGGGGATGACAGTGGCGATGATGGGGATGGTAGTGGTGATGACAGCGGAGATGATGGAGACGATGGTGGGGATGATGATACCGAAAGTGACACTGACGGGGCATGCTTTGGCTTTCAATGCCTCTCCTGGGGTTGTATCGGTGTCGATTGTT